ACGTCTGTGCTGAGTGATGCCAGGGACAGTGGGAGCCAGCAGGAGGGGCCTGGCCACCCTGGTCTGCGGCGAGTGCCGGGGCTGGTGTGAGCAGGCAGAGAACAGGCCAGTGCTCCGAGCCCAGCTTCACATGCTGCTGGAGCGGTCAGACCCCACCTCCCTGGGAAGGAGGATGGCCAGGCAGGGGCTTCAAGGTGTGCAAGCCCAAACCTAACTGTTTGGGGAGCCAAAGGCCCGAGAGCACCCACCACTGCACCCTCCTCGCCCCACCTGCTGCCCGCTCCCCGCGGGACCTACTGCTTCATGGCCAGGAGCTTGGAGTCCATGCACTCCTGCTTCCCCTTCATCAGCTGCACGTCGGTCAGCAGCTTGGTGACGCTGTCCTGGTGAATCTTCATGTCCTCACTCTTCAGGGTGTTCACCTGGTCCCCACAGGAGGTTACTGTGATGGGCCCCGCAGCACCGGGGAAAGGGCCAGGGGCTGCGGCCTTGAGATTGGCCTTCCCTGCAGCAGCTGACGGGCAGGTGTCGGCGTGGACAGGCAGAGGGGCCACTGGAAGAGGGCTTGGAGCAGCCAGGCAGGGCGATGCGTGGACGTGGCCACCCACCAAGGGAGGGCAGAGGGCTGGGGACAGGAGGGAGCTACTCACGCTGGTCACCTTCCTCTTGATGTTCTCGAGGAGCTGCTCCTGGCCGCGCAGGAAGCAGGGGTGCTGGAACTCGGTGTCGTCCCGCTCCGGCTTGACCAGGCCACCCTGCTCGATGTGCACCACCTTCCGGAAGCCATCTGCACACGGCGGGCAGGGCAGCTCTGCCTCAGACGGGGGACGCCGCCCCCACCCCGGAACTGCCACCTCAGACCTGCCTGCTGTGCCGGGCTGTCTGGCCCGAGCGCCCTGTCTCCCCCACTCTGGACCTCGGGTTCAGGCTCACGAGGACCGCTCCCCCAGGGAGAAGGCCACCTCCCCGAGACCCAGGTGTGCTGGCTCCTCCCTCACCACAGGCAGGGCCACTGCTGCCCTCTGCGCCCCACAAGCCCGCGGGCGGGCACTCACACATGTTGAGCTGCCGCACGAAGCTGGCCATGTTGTTGTGCTTGAAGTACTTGGGCAGCACCTCCTTGGCAAACTGGCCCTGGTCGTACACGTGGAAGCTGTTCCCGCTCTGCCAGGGACATGCAGCGAGTCAGCGCTCGGTGAAGGCACAGGGCCTCCGTGAGCAGCAGACAGCCTCGCTCCCTCCTGTGGGGCGGGGGCCTCGTGGCAGTCGGCGCCTCACCCAGGGTCCTGCTTCCCCAGGGCCGAGGCCCGACATAGAGCACCGGGCACCACAGGCCCAGCCTTTAGGGACCCACTTTCGCTTCCACAAGCAAACGCACCGAGAGGAGCCGAGACCCCACCTTACGGCCCTAATACACGGCCCTAATCCAGTTACTCTGCAGGAACGCTGCGCTCAGAAACGCAGCTGCACCTTCCTCTGGCTCTGAGAGGAGGACAGGTTGTACAAACCCTACATTACCGCTTCCTCCAGGTCTTTCCACGAGGAGTGGGCAGGCCCTGTGACTGTCCACGTGAATGGAGCGGCACAGGGAGCAGGCTCCCGTGGGGAAGAGGGATGAAGAGGCGGGAAAGCCCAATGATCCCTGCAGTGTGGGTCTAGGACTGGAGAGCTTTTTTTAATTTCAGAGAGAGAGGAAGGGGGAGAGGCAGAGGGAGGAGAGACGGAAGGGGGAAACATCGATGTGAGAGAGGAACACTGATATTGGTTGCCTCCTGTACACACCCCAACTGGAGATATCATAGAACTGCGGCCTGGGTGTGCCCTGAGTGGGAATTGAACTGGCGACCTTTCAGCACATGCACAGCACTCCACCAACTTAGCCAGACCAGGCAGTTAGAGCTTCCTTTGCTAAAGCCTTTAGGACAATTTCCAGAGACTAATAAGTTATTTAAAGAAGCTTTGCTGTCTTTGTTTGATTTAACCCACGGTCTCCCAGTATAAAAAGCCTTTTCTCTAGGGATGTCTAATTTTCTTTTTTTGTTAATCCTCACCTGAGGATTTTTTCCCATTGATCTTCAGAGAGAATAGAAGGGAGAGAGGGAAGAAGAGGGGGCAGAGAGAGGATGAGAGACATAGATTGGCTGCCTCCTGTGCTCAGCCAGACGGGGTGGGATCAAACCTGCGACCCTTTAGTGTTGGGAGGAAACCTAAGACTCTAACCACTGAGCAAAAACTGGCCTGCACAGGAAGTCCAAGCTCCACAGCATGTGGCTGGCTAAGACACTGGATAGCCCTAGCTCGTTTGGCTCAGTGTATGGAGCATCGGCCTACAGACTGAAGGGTCCCAAGCTCGATTCTGCCCAGGGGTGCAGGCCCGGTCCACAGTGGGGGGCATGCGGGAGGCAGCCAATCACTGTCTGTCTGTCTCTCTCTCTCTCTCTCCCTTCCTCTCTGAAACCAATAAAAATATATTAAAAAATAAACTCCAGGAAGGGTAAATGCAAAGAATCCACACCTGGACACTCACGTCAAACAGCAGAAAGCAAGAGATGAAGAGAACAGGGAAGCAGCAGGAGAGACCTCACGCACAGCCATCCTTACGGCCAAAGGATGTGGTTCCACCACAACCTCAGAGGGCAGAGGCCCTGGGCACCCTCACTCCAGGGAGCACCCTGTGCCCTTCCCTCTCCCCTCCTTCCCTCACAGGCATGCACCCCTAACCTCTAAGGGACCCCATGAGACTTGCACCCAGGGGAGCAATGGGCAGCGGCGGCTGGTCCCAGGTCAACCCTCCGAACCCGTCTCCAAGGCTCCCTTTAGTCTGACTTCCCAGCAAGACCGAGCAGCCCAGCCTGGGCGCTCTGTGGCTTCCTGCAGGCCCTCGGCCGTGCTGTCCGGGGTGGGCGTGTCTGTGGTCAGTAAGACCGTGGAAAAAGAGCTGTGGAAAGGAGGGAGCTGCACTCCGGGATGGCCGTGAGCAGACATACAGTGTGTGTTTGTGTGTCCCCCGAGAACTTGCAAATCGGGCTCAGGATGCTGTGGCCACTGAGGGTGGAGGCTGCCACAGGTCTGATAATATCGGACTTTCCTACTCAAAGGCTTTGCCCAGAACACAGATTGTGGGTCCTGGGAGTATGCCTGCAGGGCTCCCCCTACACACCTCACAATCTTTTCATCCTGTTCTTTCTTAAAATACATTTTTACTGATTTATTAGTTTCTCTCTCCGTCTCCCTTTATTAAGTATTGAGAAACATCAATACTGAGAAAGAATCACGGATTGGCTGCCTCCTCCACACCCCACACTGGGGATCCAGCTTGCAAACCCCAGCACGTGCCCTGACAGGGAAATCGAACCTTAACCTCCCGGTTCATAGGTGGACACTCAACCATTGAGCCACACTGGCCAGGCTGCCTCACAATCTTTAAGCACAAACAGCAAGCAGATTAAGGGGCGGGACAGATCATCCTAGTAGAGTTAAGCTCTGATGTCCCTCCCAGAACGGATGAGGGTGTTCTCTGAGGGTTCAGGGCAGGAACAGGAGGAGAAAGAAGGCAGAAGAAAGGAAGACAGAAACAGGGGGCCATTTCCTTTGGTTGGTCAAGTTCAAGGTCTAGAACAAGGTAACGGCCGCTGTGGGGACGCACCCTGACCCTCTCTGGGACTTGTGCTGCCCATGAAGGAACAGACTCTGGGGAATGGGGAGCACCCACCCTGCAGGACCACATCCCGGGGACCAACAGAAAATGTCTCCAACGGGGCTTCTAGCCTCTTTATTCCAAACACTCTTCCCGCAGAGCGAGCTTCAGCCACCAGACAACCCACGGGCCAGAGAGCCTGGCTCGCGGGGGTTGCTTCCAGCCTAGCCTTCCCCTCCTCTCCTTGCAGCTCAGGAGCAGGAGCGGGAAGTGCTTAATGGAGCCCAGAACCCCGGCCTCACCCGCGGGCACACGCGCTGGCCCTCAGCGGGCAGGGCGCTCGGAGGCCCCCCGCGCCTCCCTGCGCCCGGGCAGACAGGCCCGATTAGAGGCCGCACAGTCGCCGGCCCCGGCCCTCTCGGGAGGCGGCGTCACAGCCAGGAAGGCGAACGAGCAGCAGGCTCATGTCCGACGGCAGACACGGCCTCCGGTTCGCCCCGGCCGCGGCGGGCGGGGCCAGCAGGCCCGGACCACGCGGGTAAACAAGACCGCTGCCAGGCAACGGGGCGCGGGGACGGGGACGGAGACGCGGGGCGGAGGTCCGTTTTCGCTTCCCGCACCGGAGCCACGCCCTCGGGCCCGTGAGCCGAGTCCAGCCGCCGACCACACACCCGGCGCCCGGCGGAGCGCAGACGCGCCCCCGCAGCTGTCGGACGGCGAGCAGCCGGGAGGGAGAGGCCCGCCCTCCTCCCCTCCATCCCCGTCCCCGCCCAGGGGAACGCGGCGCGGACCGAGCCGACGGGGAGGCCGCGGACGCTGTCTCCCCCTTGGGCCCTCCGTCCGCACACCGAGCGGCCGCGGCGGGGCCTGCCGGCCCCCGGGGGCGCGCCCGCTCTCACCTGGCTCCAGCAGATGAGCGCGTCGGTGTCCGGGTCGCTCACGAGGGTCCACAGCTTGGTCAGGAAGGCCGGGACGTTGCTGGGCCCCGCAGCGCCGGGGCCAACGGGAAAATCCATGGCGGGGAGAGGCGGAAGTAGCGACAGCAAAGAGTGGCCGAGGCCGGGCTAGCGCCGCCGCCGCGTCTGTAGGCCGGGCCGCGCTGCCGTCGCCGCCCGCTGCGCAGACACGGCCCACAGGCCTAGTATGGCCGCCGCCATCTTGCGACTGGCGCCCCCACGCCGGCGCCGCCTTTCTGCGTACGCACGACCCTACGCCCCGCCCCGAACGCTCCGCGCATGCGCATGCTGGTGTCGCCGCGCCTGGCCAATCAGAGCGCGCGAAGCGAGCCTTCCGCGGCATCTGACCCCGCCCTCAGCCCCACGCGACCGGGTCGCTGCCGGAAGTGGCGGGACCCGCTAGGATCATGGTGGGCGCGCGGGGCACGGGGCGCGCGGGCGCGGCGGCGGAGGGAGCTCGGCCCAGGAAGCGGCCTCAGGAGCCGGAGCCGGAATCAGAGCCCGAGGAGGTGACAGCGGGCGCCACGGGCTGTGAGCGGGCGGCGTGGGTCCCACGTGGTGGCGGGGGGCGTGGGTCGAGCTCGCGGGCGGGAGTGTGAGCAGGAGTCTGCCCTCCGGGGCAGCGGCCCTGGGGGCGCCCAGGGCGGCCGAAGAGGGGTGGAGGGGACGGTCTGTGGGTGGAGGGATGAGCAGCAGAGACATGGCCCCGGGAGCCGGCTCCTCGGGCAGCAGCCTCTCGGTCCCGCGGAGCTCTGCCTCCCGCCGGGAGAGAGGTTTCCGCTCCCGCCGCCTCAGCACCGCCGTGTTCACGCACCACTCCCGGGTTAGGTCATTGCAAAGAGGGAGGAGGCTGTGCGGGTAACTGACTAGAACCCGCGGCCCGCGGCCTCGGACACCTCGCTCTCCCTGGTCGCATGGCCGCCGGTGCTGCCCCGCCGATCCCCGGCGGGGCTGTGGGGCTGTCATCCGACTCGGGTCTGACTCCAGGGGGCGGGGCTCCCCTCAGGGCGGGGCTCGTCCTCCTGCCCCCCACCAGGGCCGCCCTGGGCGCCGGGCTTGGCTGCTGGACCACTGGGCTCGGCGTGTCCCAAACCGCCGGTGCCGTTTGCACTTGCTGCCCGGATGGCGCAGCTAAGGGTCGGGACCGAGCAGCTTGCTTCTGGGAAAGCTGAGCGGAGGGCCATGGAGTACCGTGCGTGCAGGTCGTGCGGTGAGGCGAGAGGCTTGTAAATACTGAGGAACAGGGAAACAGGACTCTCCGCGCAGGTGCTTCCTAAATGTCTGCAAGTCTACTTTCCAAAGAGGAATTTATTTTTCTTTTTAAAACATTTTTCAGAGGGAGGGAGAGAGGGAGGAAGAAACATTGATTGGCTTGGATGACGCCCAACCAACGGAGCCACACCAGCCAGGGCTCTTGTTCCACTTTTAAAGGCAGTGATGGGCCCTGGCTGGTGTGGCTCAGTGGACAGCATCAGCCTGCGGACTGAAGGGTCCCAGGTTCCATTCCAGTTGACACATGCCTGGGTGTCGCGCTTGGTCCCCACTAGGGGGCGTGCAGGAGGCAGCCGATCAGCGATTCTCCTCATTGATGTTTCTATCTCTCCCTCTCCTTCCTCTCTGAAGTAAATAATAAATGAAAACAAACAAACCAATAAAGGCAGTGACAGGCCTGCTCGCTGTGCGGGGGCTGTAGCGATAGGGAGGAGATGGTGTCTTCTCCACCAGGGGCTGCATGGTAATCTTGTTTTTAAGTCAAGCTTCATTTTTATCGTTCTTCAAACTTTGCACCCACTGCTGTCCCACCTGGTTGGGTACGAAGGCTCTTCAGGGGGGAAAGCCTTGCCCTCCTTCCCTCAAAGCTCTGGGGCCTTGGGTGCCAGGTGGGTGAGGAGGGGGAGAGCGGAGGGGAAGTGGTTCTAAGAAGGGGACATGGTTTTCCAAAGTCCTTCCCTTGTGAGATGCTGGGACGTAAGTGTCCCTCCCAAGGCGGATGGCTCTGCTGCTGGCAGAGGTGGGCTGTGAGGAAGGCCTGGCCTGGCCGTGGAGGCTGGCCACACGAGCTGTGGGTCCCTGTGTGGTCAGCCATCATTCACACTGTGCTCCTTGCAGCCTTCTCTCCTCTGCGCCCGTGCTCCTGGCCTCGGGGACGGCAGCGATTCTGGCCTCTCCGACAGTGAGGAGAGTGTATACTCAGGCCTGGAAGATTCTGGCAGTGACAGCAGCGAGGACTCCACTGAGGAACAGGATGGAGCCAATGGTGGTGAGGGACACGGGAGGACAGAGAAGATGGCTGGGCAGCAGGTGAGTGACCCAGGACCCCGCTGTGAGCTCCCTTGTCTCCGTGAAATCGTCCTGGAAGGAAAGCACCTGCAGGCCTTGGGCCCGTGGGAGGGTGGGGGTGTACATGTCCCTACACTGCTTCCTCCCAGTTTCCTGAGGAACCCAGCCGTGTCTGATGCATCTGGGACCAGGTGGACCACATGTTTGAAGCTGGGACGCTCTCCAGAGAGAGCTGGATGCTTCACTCACCCCATGTCGCTAGGCTGGCTTTTCTTTTTCTATTTAAATATGTTTTATTTTATTTTAAAATGTATATATTTTATTGACTTTTTTTTTTTTATAGAGAGGAAGGGAGAGGGATAGAGAGTTAGAAACATCGATGAGAGAGAAATGTCGATCAGCTGCCTCCTGCACACCCCCTACTGGGATGTGTCCGTAACCAAGGTATATGCCCTTGACCCGGATCGAACCTGGGACCTTTCAGTCCTCAGGCCGATGCTCTATCCACTGAGCCAAATTGGTTTCGGCACCTCACCCTTTCTTTCTTCTTCTTCTTTTATTTATTTTTTTTATTTTTTAATTTTATTGAATTTTTACAGAGAGGAAGAGAGAGGGATAGAAAGCTGGAAACATTAATCAGCTGCCTCCTGCACACCCCCCACAGGGGATGTGCCTGCAACCAAGGTACATGTCCTTAACCGGAATTGAACCTGGGACCTTCAATCCGCAGGCCGATGCTCTATCCACTGAGTCAAACCGGTTTCGGCACCTCACTCTTTCTTAATTAGCATAAGGGAGACGGGCTGATTTAACGGAAATGCAGCGTTTGTTAGAATGCTCTGAGGAGCAGCTTTAACCGTGGGCTCCGGCCCTGAGTCCTGGCACCGAAGACCTGGGCTTGTGCAGGTTACTCTCCTGGCGGACCTGAACTCAGACCGGTGCCCGCGGCGCTGAGCGCTTAGAGGAGAGGGCGCCTTCACACTCTTGGCCCTGTAGGGTTGGGAGCAGCTGTTTTCCCATGTCTTTTTTTACTTTAGAAAAAATCCTCGCCTGAAGGTATTTTTCAGTTGATTTTTAGAGAGTGGAAAGGAGGAGGAGGGAAAGACAGAGAGAGAGAGAGAGAGAGAGAGAGAGGGAGAGGGAGAGAAACATCGATGTGAGAGAGACACACCGAATGGTTGTCTCCCACAGGCACCCCAACGGGGGTCGGGGGTCGAACCTACAACCCAGTATGCACCCTTGACTGGGAATGGAACCTGAGACCCTTCCTTGCATGAGTGAACACACTCTAACCACTGGGCCACGTCGGTCAGGGCTGCTCTGTCTGTCCTTTTGAATCCCTTTTCCTAGAATTCCCTTTCTACTCACCTTTCCCCCTAAAACCCAGTTACCTGTCCAGCCTGAAGTCCCTTTTCTCGTTTCCAGTGGAGACGGCTGTGCGCTTACTGGCATGTCCTTCCCGTGGGGCGGGGAGCGAGGTCATCCTGGCGTTGGGTCTCTGCGCTCCCTCACTGGCGTGGGCAGGGGGAGCTGGGGGGAAGCGCCGTGCCCTTGGGTGGGAATGAGGACAGGGACCGCCCGGCGCGCAGACGGGTGCTGGCTGCTCCCCACCCTTCCCGCGGGAGCAGTGGCACCGCCCTGTTGCTCGGCTGGGTGTTGTTGTGGGAGACTCTTGCTCCTGCTCATCTTGTGCCCGCTCTCCTCTGTGCACCCTGCCTTCTCCATACCCCCCCACCCAGGGGGGTGGGGGGTGGTGACAGCCCTGTCCTCATCCTTTATTCCTCTGCTGACCTGAGTCCCTGTCTGCCAGGCCAGTCGCCCCGTCTCCTGGCTGCACTCTCCAGCTCTGCCCTCACACTCTTTTTAAAAAAATATATATTTTTATTGATTCTAGAGAGGGAGGGAGAGAAACACCAATGATGGGAGAAATCATTGATTGGCTGCCTCCTGCACTTCCCCTACTGAGGATCGAGCCTGAAACCCGGGCATGTGCCCTGACCCGGAATCAAACCCGGAACCTTTCAGTACACAGGCCGACTCTATCCTCTGAGCCAAACCGGCCAGGGCACATGCCCGGGTTGTGGACTCGATCCCCGATCCCTGGTAGGGGGAGTGCAGGAGGCAGCCGGTCAATGATTTCTTGTCAGCGTGTCAGTGTCTTCCTTCGAGGAGCTGCTGGGAGCTCGGGGCCGGCCGGCTGCACCTGGGCCACTGACAGGCCACACTCCCATGTCTCCATGTCCGCCTCCGTCCTCTCCCTGGCTTTCCCCTGATTACCCACACCGTCTTCTCTCTCTGTGGGGCTGGTTTTAGCCCCCCCACCCCCACCCCAACTCACCTCTTCCCAGGGCCTCGCCAATCTCCCAGCAGAGGCTGGCCAGGGTGCCTGCCTGCTCTTGGCTCCACATCTCAGGGGTTTGTGCCTGAAGCCACGTCTTCCCTTTCCTGCTTTTCCTGCTTGTTGTGTTTGGTTTGATCTTTTCTATTTACATGGGGACATTTTCTATTTTAAAAATATATTTTTATTGACTTGAGAGAGGAAGGGAAAAGGGGAGAGAGAAACATCAGTGATGAGGGAGAAATCATGGATGGGCTGCCTCCTGCACGCCCCCTACTGGCAATCGAGTCCACAACCCAGGCATGTGCCCTTGTCCCCAGTCCCCAGGCCAACGCTCTGTCCTCTGAGCCAAACTGGCTAGGGCTCTATTTTGTTTTTTTAATCTTTTGTGAAAAAGTCCCCACTTTCTTTAGTTTGCTCGCTGCAATCAAGAGACCTAGTAGTAGCTGCCAAGGCCGGTTTGGCTCAGTGGATAGAGCGTCAGTCTGCAGACTCAGGGGTCCCAGGTTCGATTCCGGTCAAGGGCATGTACCTTGGTTGTGGGCATGTCCCTGGTGGGGGTTGTGCAGGAGGTAGCTGGTCGATGATTCTCTCTCATCGATGTTTCTAGTTCTCTATCCCTCTCCCTTCCTCTCTCTGAAAAATCAATAAAATATATTAAAGAGAGAGAGAGGGAGGGAGACCTAGTAATGCTTCAGCCCCATGGGCAGGTTCAGGGGGCAGTGCCAGACTGCCTGTGCCTCTGCAGGGCCGTGTGGATCTGGTACCCCACCACCGTGGGAGGGGGGTGCCCGGGGACCCGGGATGCTGTTCAGGGACCTTCCTTTCTGTGCTGGCATCCTTTCTGTTTTATGTCTTCCTGATCTTGTTCCTGAACTGAGTGTTTCTTTAATGCACTGCCCCCTGGCGGCTGCCGACTGCCCTGCAGCATTGGGGCTTGGAGGTGGGGGGGGTGCCCCAAGGGGCCTGCGCACTGAGTCTGGGAGTCACTGCTGCCCACGGGACAGGGTGTCTCTGCACCCCCGCCCAGGTCCCTGGCCACACCTGTGGCACTGATGCTGAGGGGCCTGGCTCCTGAGGAGCGGGCGGCCGTGAGCAGCGGCCATTGGGGAGGCACAGACAGTGGGCCCAGGGCCCGGGCAGGTGTGCCTGCTGGCGCTCCGCGGCCACGAAGGGCAGAGAGCTTTGGGCCTGGGTAGGGCAGGGGCTCGGGCCGCCCGCTGTATCCCGCCTGCGCCCACGCCTTCAGGCCTTGCCAACCCGCTTTGACAGGCGGTGCGGGGGCAGGGGCTGGGGGACGTGGAGACCAAATCCTGCTGGGTCCTGGCCGGGCGGAAACTTAGGGTTCGCCTTCCTCCCACTGAGGGGAAGCCGGAGGAGCTGCGGGTCTGGCGGAGGGGGCTGTGCTGGGGGCTCCTGCTCCCCAGCATTTACTGGCTGCCCCCAGGGCGAGCACGGGCTGTTTTCCCCATCACCCCCTCCAGAGCACCCCCCGCCCCGCCCCCGCGGCCGGAATCTGTTTTCCAGGTTGAGGTGTAAATGCTCAGCAACACCCACTCACTGACCCGGTGGACGGGGTCAGCCTGGGGCCAGGGATGTGGTGGGTGGGACGGGGGCCTGAGGGCCAGGCCCAGGTGCCTCGGGGCTGTCTGTGGGGGCTGACGGCGCCACAGCTCCCTCAAGTGGGACCCCAGCCCTCACTTTGCCCCGGACCCCAAGCTGGCACTGGGGCTGGCGGGGCTGGTGGTGGGACTATTGGGCCAGGCTCCTGCTGCCCCCTCTCCTGTCACAGGGCTCAGGGATGCTGGTGGCTGGTTGTAGCCTGGCACCAGGTGTGGCCGCCCCCCTCCCACCCAGGGGTCCTCTCCCAGAGCTTGGACACGGCCTGGGTTTGCCCCCCCCCCAAGGCCCACTGAGGCCTGGTGTCCCTGGTCTTCTGAGGCCCAGGCTGCTTTGGAGCATCTCAGAGGTGGGGGTGGTGGGAACCGTGACCTCAGAGCCAGCTGGATGGACAGTGGGTCCTCACTGCCCCCCCAGGAGGGGCCTGGGCCTGCCGGGGTCAGAGGGCTTGGTGTCACAGGAGCACTTTCTCCCCCCCCACAGGCCGCCGGCACCCCCTCGCCCCCGCGGGGCCAGGACGAGTACGCGGAGGACAGTTCCGACGAGGAGGTAGGCCCTCGGGCGGCCGAGTGGGCGTCTGGCCCCGGCCCCACTCGGGATCTGGAAGAGCGATTGGGGTCTGGGACTCATGACTGCGGGGTGTGTGTCATCGCGGGGGAGGGGTGCGGCGGCCGGCCTGTGCCTGGCCCACGGGGGGCTGGCACGCCACAGGCACGCTGGCTGGCGTTCCCCACCCACCCAGGCCTGTCACCCCGCCACCGGGCACCTGTCTCGAGCGCCGAGGGGGAGGGCAGCAGCCCTGGCGCCAGGTCCTCAGGCACAGGCTGGGCCAGGCCCCTGGGTCTGGTGGCCTCGAGTTCACAGTCGGGAGGGGCGTGGGGACCGTGTGATGTGGGGCCAGGGGGCTCCGTTTGGGTCCAGAAGTCCCGATGGGTGGGCGGGCGGGGAGCTGGGAGCCCCCGTCCACCTGTCCCCTCCCGGTCCCTCCGTCAGGTGAGCCTGAGGCTGGGGGGCCAGGACCGTGGCTCAGGAGCGCTTCCTGCGCCTGTCGGGGCGGCCAGGCCTGGGGAGGGCGGCCCCCCACTTGCTTCCACCCCCATCCTAGGCTCTGCTGGCAGCAGCTGCAGGAGCCTTGGCTGTCCGCCCGATCCGGTCTCCGTGCGTTCAGAGAACAGAGACAAAACAAAATAAATTGGTTTCCTGGCCGGAGCAGCGGGCGCGGCGAAGGGGGGCCATCGGAGCGGCTCCCTGCCTGCCTCCCCCTCCCAGGGGCTCTGGCTGTCGGCAGCCACATCCTGTCGGCTACTTTTTTATATTCGGAATTTTGAGAAATCGATGATGATTGTAAATGGAGTGCAGGCGGGGGAGGGGCCTCCCACCTGGGGGAGGGGCGCTCCTGTCCCGGAGCCACTGCGGGGGCTGCGGGCGCTTCCTCCGAGATGAGGATCCCATATGGCGGCTGAGTGACAGGCGGAGCCGCTGCCGCCTCTGCTGCCAGAGCAGCCCCGGCCAGCCGCCCTCGGGAGCCGTGGGTGCCCGAGCCGCCAGGAACGGGTGCCCCTTGGGTGCTTGGGGGCCCGTGGCTCCCACCCTGAGGGGCTGTGGCTGTGTCTCCGGCGTCTGAGCAGTGTTGGGAGGGCTTGGGGAGGAGGCCCTGGAGCTGGGGCGCGTGTGGGTGCGGCCAGGTGACCGCAGGGTCAGGCTGCAGACCCTGGCGCCCCGGGCTGTGCCTGGCTGGCTGTGAGCCAGGACCTGTGGCCGCTGCTCTGCGGAGTCTGGAGGTGGCCAGTGGTGCCAGGACCCACTCGGCGGTGGGCCGGCTCCTGGGGGGTGCCCCTGGGAGAGGCCTCCCCCCACTCGGGCCTGCGCTGCGCGTCGCCGGGTCGAGAGTTGAGGCTGGGGCTGGGGGCTTCTGGGCCCTCTGGCTGGGCCTGCCCGCCCCCCCCCCCCGGCCCCCTCCAGCTGGCTCGGTGCCGTCTGTCTTCCCGGGAGACCTGGTTCTGTCTCAGGACTCACCCGCTGCCCCTTCCCCAAGCTCATGGGCCAAGGCCCCGGGCAGCGCTGGTCCTGGCGGGTCCTGGCGTGTGGGGAGCCCCGAGGAGCCTGTGGGCCCGTCCGCCCAGCCCCCACGTGTCCACCTCGCCCCTCTCCAGGGCACCGGCACCTCACAGACGTGATCTCATCCAGCCGCCAGGGCCCGGTGGGGGAGGGTGCGGGGAGGGGGCTGGCGGTCTCGGCCGCTGCCCCTCCTCTTGGTTGAAGCAGCCGGAGACACTGAGGAAAGCGTGGCGGGGGGCCCCTGCAGGGCGAGGGGTCAGGGCCGCCGTGAACTCAGGCAGAGGGCCGGGCAGAGGGCGGGGAGGACCCCGGGCCCAGGCCAGCCGCTGCGCCCAGGCCTGGGTGGGGGCAGGGCTGTGGCTGGCCGGCTCCTCGGCCCGGCCCCCTCGGCTCGGAGCTATCTCAGCCCCACAGGGACAGCCGGGCCTGTCTGCGTCCAGAGCCCGCGATCCCCTCTGCTCTCGCGCCAAACGCCGTTAATGGCTTCTCCGAGCTACCGAACCGGCAGCTGCCTCCAGCGCTGGCGGCCTCCGCTCCTCCGGGCCCCCGCCCGCCCGCCCGCCCGCCCGCCTGCCGCGCACTCAGAGCGCTTGCGTCGTCGCTGGCAGCCGAGCCAGCGGCTCGGGTTTCTGAGCTGTTTGTGGGACGCCCAGCGCGGAGCCTGCTGGTGTCTCAGCCTCACAGGCCGCCTGCGCCCCGGCCAGCCTCCGAACGGGGCCGCTGCCAGGCTGGGCCTGGTCCCTGCCTCTCCTGGGAGGGCACTGGCCGCACGGCTGACCCTCGGCCTCGGCCCTGTCCGAGGCGGAAGGGCTCGGAGGGAGTGATGGTCGTGACTGCAGGCTGCCCGGTGCCTGTGCCCCCTCCGGCTCTGAGCCGGGCCCCCTGCCCCGGGCCTGGTGCTCCCAGGAGCCTTTCTTGCTGGAGAGGGCAGGCAGGGCAGGGCTGGCGAGGAGGGAGCGGGTGTCCTGGCCCCTCAGGTGTGCAGTGAGCACCCTGGCGCCCAGCGGGTCTTGGGTCTGTGCAGCAGCCGAGGTGAAGGTGGCTGCAGAGCCCCAGCCTGCTGGGTGCCCACTGAGAGCCCCTTTCCCTGGCCCTGGGAGCCTGGGCAGGGGAGGGTGTGTGGGCAGGGCCTCCTTCCAGAGGAGGGCTGCTTGGGGCTGGGGTGTGACCCTGGGAGGCAAGCTCTGTGGGAGGTTGGCAGGGGTGTGGCTCAGGCAGGGACAGTGAGGGCCCTGCTTGGGGCTGGGGAGGGGGGGCTCTGCAGGAGGGGGGCCAGGCCTGTGTGCAGCTCCCAGGATGAGGGCTGCTCTGTCTCTGAATTGTGTGGCTCAGAACAGGCCTTGACACTCAGTGAGGGGCCAGAGCCTGCACCGCCCTGGCAACTCTCCCTGGACCCTGGTCAGCCCACGAGAGGGGCCGGGGGTTGGGGTCTCAGAATCTGCGGACCTGGGAGCAGGGCTGTCTTCTCTCTGCAGACCCCCTGGGGGCGGACTTGCTCCCCCCACAGCCGAGCAGGTGGGGGCATGCAGTGAGCGTGGTGGGCCCTGTGTCGACAAGTGTCTGCTGGCTCTTGTGAGGGACGGATGGACGGACGCACGGAGTGGGGGGCTCCTGGGCTGGTGCCGCAGAGCTGCCTGCTCCTGAGTCCAGACGTAACGGGCGGCCACGAGGAGGCTGGGGAGGGTCAGTGGGCTCTGGCTGCTCCCACCCCGCTTCCTCCAGCCCCTGGTCCCAGGACCAGGGCGCCTGCTGGCCTCTGGGGTCCCTGCAGCAGGTGAGCTGGGCACCGAGATCAGACACCTTGAGGAGCCGAGGACGGAGCAGGAAGGCCGGCCTCAAGACAGGCGGGAGCTTCGTGCCGGCTGCGAACAGGGCCGCATTGTAATCGGAGAGGCCGGGAAGAGCGCGCGGAGCGAGGGCGGCTGACCCCGCGCTCCCGGGGGACAGGTGGAGAGGGAACGAGGAGCGAGTGAAGGATTCCAGAGGTGGGCCGGCTTCCTCCCTCGCAGACAGACGGGCGGTGGCAGCCGGCCAGCGTACCTGCAGTTCCAATCTGCGGTCCTGACAGCTGCAGCCACTTTGGGGAGGGGGAGGGGTGGGCTCATCGGGCGGAACCGTCGCCGCCGCCGCTGCCGCTGCACGCACGCAGCCACTGGCCGCCTTGTCCCGTGCCGCTGGGGTGGGGACCTGCCCGGGGCTCCCACAGACGAGGGGGCCGTCCCTGGGGCAGAGCAGCCCGGGAGAGCAGGGCCGGGCCGCCTGTGCCCTCAGCCCGGCCTGCAGCACAGGGCCTGACCTGGAGGGGCTGGCGTGCTCACCCGCGGGGTCACATGTGCTTCCTGGCAGACGCAGGTGCTGAGCAGGGTGGGGGCCGGCTGGCCGCGGGCGCAGGCGGCCTGGTGATGAATCATGTGGTGCCGCCAGCAGCTCGTTCCCCGGGCCGGGGACCGGGAGCTGACAGCCCAGGCCGATGGGAGTGTTTCCAGTGCAGCTTGGCCCGGTGCGGCCCCTGCCTCTCCAGATGCCTGTGGGGCACACAGAGCCCGGGCCTTTGTCCCCGGCCGGCCGGCCGGCGGTGGCGGAGGGAAGGAAGCAGGGCTGCGGTGGGCGGGAGCACCTGCCGCCCCCGGCCCCCGGCGGGCCGTGCCGCCGCCGAGGGGACGTGCGTGGGGCCGCCCAGTCTGGTTTGAATTTCTGGAGCAGTGGAGGGTGACGGAGCGCTCCTCCCCCTCCCCCCCGCTGGCTGGCGGTCCAGCCGCTGCTACTGGTGCAGCTCAGGGAGCAGCCGGGCCCGCTGCCCAGGCCCGAGGCAGCCAAGCTGCAGCCGCTGTTGGAGTCATAGGCGCGGCGGCCAAGGGCTTGGCCCGCATGCACCCGACCAGCTGGGCCCTGGGGACCCTCCCAGAGGCCTGTCCTCCCACTGACTTCCCACCTCCACACGTCCTCCTCCGCACACGCCCAGGGGGTCACCGCCGCTGCTCCCCTCCTGAGCCCCCCGCCCGCCCCCTCCCGTTTCCCGTCTGCCCTGCTCCTCAGGATGTCACCCGGCCTCTCCCCACGGGGACTCGGTGACGGGAGGTAGCGCACAGTGGCTGCCCATCGCCTGGGGGGGTTTCATGGAGGAGGTTTGTCCCCTGACCTGGCCCAGGTGTGGCGATGAGAGGCAGTGTGCCCGGAGCCTCCCACAGCCTGCGTGGTGCCCGTGCAGCGAGGGTGCCAGGCTCGAGCACGGCCTGCCAGCCTCCCCAGGGCATGTTCCTGGGGTCCTGGGGTCCCGGGAGGGGAAGGGGAGCCTTTCTCAGTCCCCAGGCGGGCCCGGAGCCCCTGCTGGGCCCTGCTCCCCAGCAGGTGGGTGGGGGGCTGGTGCAGTGACTGAGTGCGCCCTCCACCCGCCCTGGGCCAGCTGTGGCTCCTTCAGGATTAGGGAGAGGAAATTTGGGGTTGGGTTTCTCTGAGTGGACCTGCCGCTGTGACTTTTTATCCTGTTATATTTCTATCAGATTGGACACAGCCCCCCTCTGGCCCTTAATGGCTCCGGCTTTGAGAATTTCCTCCAAAATCACACCACCGCTTCCTGTTCCACACTTCCCTGGAGCCCGTCCATGCAGAGGAGGGCACTCGGGCCCTGCCCCGCTGGGTTCCCACGTGAGCCTCAGCACCTGGCCGCTCCCGCGGGGCCCAGGAGGGCCTGTCAGAGGGCACGGGAGGGCTGAGGCCCAGGGCTGGTATCGCCCTTTGGGCGCTCCTCACACTCGCCAGCCAGGCTACTGGCTCCGGGTCGGGGGAGGGGGCCGCCTTCCTTCTCTGCTGAGCCCTCGGGGAGCCCCGAGCTGTAATTGTCACCTGCGGGTTTTAATGGTGAACCAGCTGCACAGCCCTGGGAGGGCCCGCTGCCCTCCTCGTTGGCAGATGGCACTCTGGGTAGACACGGGGTAGTGGCTAAGGGTTCTTCCCGTGTGGGCCAAGTGCAGGGCTGGGCGGGACGGGGTGTACCCGGGGTGCATGCAGGGGCTGCCTCCTGGCCCTGGCCTGGGGACCCCTTACCCAGCTCCCCCACACGTCCATTTCTTGGGGCTCCATGGTCACAGGTTGAAGTGCCAAGGCCCTGAGGCCCCCAGGAAGCCCTGGCACCATGTAGGTCTGGAGAGGGGGCCCCAGGTTGGCTGCACCCACCAGCCCTGTCCTCCCCGCTCTGGTCTCCTTTGTCCCCCAGGCCCAATGCCCTGGAGGGGGCGCCGCACTGTGCCCTGGACCTGGCGGGTGGGGCCGCCCCGAGAACTGGTGTCCCCAGCACCGGAGGACGGCGTTGGGCCAGGATGGACGCTGACCCTTTGAGAGGAAGCGGGCTCCCGCTTTTGGAGGATACGGTTTTGTTTTTAATTATACAAAAATTTCCAGACTTTATATTATATCAAAGACACAGATGCCAACACGTAGTGACCAAAGAAAACCCAGGGAGGAAGCCAGCGTGGACAGTTCCAGTGGCCTGGGCAGTGCTGTGGCCAGCTCAGTCCCGTCGCCACCTGCCTCTCCGTGGGCCCCACACGCAGCCGGAGGCGGAGCGGGCCCGTGGTGCCCGCGCGGGAGGCCTGTGCCCGAGTCAGGTCCTCGGCTCTCCGGGTCGCCCCGCGGCTTCGGCCTCTAGCTCCGGATCGCCGTCTTTCTGTCCCGGTCCTTGCTCTGCAGAGGGGAGGGCAGTGTCAGGGCCCGGGCAGAGACCCGGCGCCGCCGGCGCCTTGGACCCTGCGCCCGCGGGCTGGTGGGCCAGGGAAGCCCCCTTCGCGCTCACCCCGCTTCCCCGGGCAGTGGGAGGAGAGCACACTGCTGCGCAGCCGGAATTGTAAAATTAAATTTCCCAGATGTTCAGGCCCCAGGAGCTCACGCGTGCTGTCTGGAGAGGAAGTGGGGATTGGGGAAAGCCGAGCCGTATTTTCTCCGCTCACCCTGCTTCTCCCGTGCCACCGAGCACAGCAGGAGCTGTAAATCACGCGCCCTGCGGGGCCCTCACCCCCAGCCCCTGCCAGCCTCCTGCCTTCAGACCCACGGCCCGTCTGGGTGGGCAGCCCAGGGCCACGGGAGGGACAGCAGGTGCCCCACAGGCCTTAGGCCAGGGCAGGGGCTGTCGCCTGGCAACTGGCCCCAGGGTCCTTCCTGCTCCCTCCCCGCCCTGTGGAGGCAGAGAGCCCAGCATTGCTCCAGGGGGTGCCTGCCGCCTCTCAGACCCCCTGGTCCTGGGGGCCTTTCTGGTCCCCGGAGGACCTGCTTGGGACGCACAGAGGCCGCCCTGCCGCCTCCAGGCTAGCCTCCTCCCTCCCCTTGGGTTGCAGTGCTGCTAGGGGCTGCCCCTTGACCCTGCCTCTGCCCAGCAGGTGTGGGCCGCAGGGTGGTTTGGAGGTAGGGGTTCCAGGTCCTCCTCAGGCCCTCTCCGTGGTGCCCTGCGTCCACACTCACCAGCTTCCTCTGGTTGCTGAGGCAGAAGGTGCAGATCTGCTTGGGCTGGGCATTCTCCGCGTCGCGGGCCGGGGGCGGCAGGGGCGGCGGGGGGCTGCCGGCCCGCGCGGCGTGGAAGAAGGCGGGCCCCGAGTGGCAGGGCTGCCCGTCGCCGCAGGCCTCGCCCACCAGCAGCACGTTGCCCAGGTGCGAGATGTAGCTGGAGGCCAGGCGCAGCGTCTCGATCTTGGAGAGCTTGCGGTCGGCTGGCTCGGTGGGGATGAGGGTGCGGAGCGCCGTGAAGGCCGTGTTCACGCTATTGGTGCGGTCCCGCTCGCGCGCGTTCGCCGTGTGCCTCTGCCGGGGCTCCCGGCCGGGCCGGCCTCCGGGGCCCGGGCCGCCCCCGGTCCTGCGGCCCCCGGCCCGCCTCCGGGCTCCCTGGAGGCCGCAGCGCGCGGCGTGCACGCGGCAGGGCTTCTCGTCGGAGCCCGAGCTCTCGCTGCCCGGGTCCTCGTCCTCCGACAGCGGGCTCACCTCCGGGTACAGGTAGCGGCCGGGCGGCGCCGAGCGCAGCATGGCGAGGGGCAGGGCCGGCGGGCACGCCGTCAGCTCCTCCGCGCGCAGCGCATGCCGCCGCGCCTCGTGGGCAGGCGCCCGGGCCGGGGAGGCGCGCGTCCGGGGCGCCCACGGTGGCGGCTGCAGCACCGCGCGCACGTGTGCGTCCCGGGCCGGAGTGGGGCGGCGGGCCCGGCCTTTATAGCGGCGGCGGCCCCTCCCCCTCGCGGCCCCGCCCCCGCCCGCCTCCCCGCCCCTGGAGGCCGCGGAGCTGGGGCCCTGCGTCCCTTCGCCTCCCGGCGGCGCCGCGCGGAAGGGGCACTGGCGTGGCCCCCAGCATCCTGCTGCCCCTGGGGGATGCGGGAAGGTGGGGGCCCGCTTCTGGGCGGGTGTGGGCTGTGCTGTGCAGCCCCCTCGCTCCCCCTCAGCAGGGCGGGAGGGTCCAAGGGGCCCCACGACCCCAGCCTGGTTCTCTGGCATGACCAAGTTAACCCAGCTGCCCTGGCCCCGGCGCCTGGCCACACCCTGTCTGTCTCTCCCTCCCTCCCTCCCATGTACTCTTGGGCCTTTTGTGCCAGGCAGGCGGTGGGGGGGGCCCACAGAGGATTATTGAGGAGCTACAGTTCAGCCCCAATTCCTGGAACCCTCCCCCCAACATTGACATGTGGGGTCCCCTGCTGGCACACAGCCTTCTCTGCACCTGCCCCCACCTGGCATCAGCTGTACCCTCCAGGTCTGGCACAAGCTGTGTCCTCTGCCTGGACACCCCCCATCTCCCACCCCCGCTTCCTGGCTCCTGCCCCTTCTCTGGAGAAGCCTCCGGACGCCCATCTACGCCCCCTGCCCCAGGATACCCCAGAGGGTCTGTCCAGTTCCGAAATGTCCATGTGGACTTGGGGGCACTGGAGGCCCCACCCTTGCAGAGAAGGAAGGGCGTTCCTGGTGCTGAGCGGGCACACGGTGCCCGTGCTGGGAGTGCTAAGGCCGGTGGGCAGGTGCAGAGGGTTCTGTCCTGCAAGGGCCCGGGCTCCCAGCTGGGCTCACTCTCCTCCGGCCCCTCCCCCTGTGGCTACTGTTGCAGGAAGCGGCGCCTGGGCAGCAGACTCGGTGCTGGGTGGAGGGAGGGTGGTGGCTGGCAGGGGCCTTGACCAGGAATGTGTGTCCAGGAATGCGGCTGCTCTGCCCACGGGGGTGGCGACAGAATGGGGGTAGCTGGGGGTCCTTGCACGCCCGTACGCAGCACGCAGTGGCCTCTGCCTCCCCGTGGAGGGGTCGGCGGGGTCTTCCCTGCCTGTGGCTGCCCATTTTTGCTTCAGGCCCTGCCAGGGGAGGGAGCCCACGCGATGAGCTCACCCTTGTCTGTGGCTCCAGAGCCTTGGCCAGGGAATCCGGGGGGGCTCAGGGTCGGCACCACTTCAGTGGAAAATGTGAGGTGCAGCTCCGGAGCCTCTGTGGGCTGAAGGGGGGCAGCCTGGCCACTGTGCCACGTCACGCCCCAGAGCAGGCACGTGTCAGGGTGCCTAGTCCTGCCTTGAGGCCTGTCCCCTGGTTCTCGCCCTTCCCCCTCGCCTGTCTCTGAGGGGCTTGAAAGGGGGGTGGCACGGTGGGTTTGCAGCGCTGCCCTGCTTCCTGCTCCCCAGGACGTGCGGAACACGGTGGGCAACGTGCCCCTGCAGTGGTACGATGACTTCCCGCACGTGGGCTATGACCTGGATGGCAGGCGCATCTACAAGCCCGTGCGGACCCGCGACGAGCTGGACCAGTTTCTGGACAAGATGGACGACCCTGATTACTGGTGAGCCTGGGGGCAGGAGGGAGGAGAGGGGGGGGAGGGGGGGAGGAACGCGGGGAGCTGGGCTCTGACGGGCGGTCCCCCAGGCGCACAGTGCAGGACCGGATGACGGGGCACGACCTGCGGCTGACAGATGAGCAGGTGGCCCTGGTGCAGCGGCTGCAGAGGGGCCAGTTTGGGGATGCCAGCTTCGACCCGTATGAGGTAGGTGGCTGTGGCTGGCCCCGGGGTCGGGGCACCTGCGGGGACCTGGCCACAGCCTGTGCTCGTCTCCCCAGCCGGCCGTGGACTTCTTCAGTGGGGACCTCATGATCCACCCGGTGACCAACCGCCCCGCCGACAAGCGCAGCTTCATCCCATCCCTGGTGGAGAAGGAGAAGGTGGGTGCCCTCCTCCAGGTGCGGCCACTCTGCCCGCCCCGCCCCACCCTGCCCTGACCATGTCTGTCCGCAGGTGTCTCGCATGGTGCACGCTATCAAGATGGGCTGGATCCAGCCTCGCCGGCCCCGGGACACTACCCCCAGCTTCTATGACCTGTGGGCCCAGGAGGACCCCAACGCCGTGCTGGGTCGTCACAAGATGCATGTGCCGGCGCCCAAGCTGGCCCTGCCGGGCCACGCCGAGTCCTACAACCCGCCCCCCGAGTACCTGCCCAGCGAGGAGGAGGTGGGTCTGGCTCAGGTGGGGCTTGTGTCCCGGGTCCTGGCCCCAGCTCAGCCCTCACCCCATGTCCACAGAGCCTGGCCTGGGAGCAGCAGGAGCCCAGTGAGCGGAAGCTCAACTTCCTGCCACGCAAGTTCCCAAGCCTCCGGGCCGTGCCCGCCTACGGCCGCTTCATCCACGAGCGCTTCGAGCGCTGCCTGGACCTCTATCTGTGCCCGCGGCAGCGCAAGATGAGGGTACGAGGCGGCACTCCTGGGTCGGAGAGTGGGGGAGGGAGGGGTACACGGTGACCGCGTGCTTTCCTGCCTCAGGTGAACGTGGACCCTGAAGACCTCATCCCCAAACTGCCTCGCCCACGGGACCTGCAGCCTTTCCCCACGTGCCAGGCCCTGGTGAGCAGGGGGTGGGGGAGCACACGCCTGGAAACGGTCCCTGTCCTCGTGTCCTCACTGCCCTTCTCTGCAGGTCTACAGGGGCCACAGCGACCTCGTCCGCTGCCTGAGTGTCTCCCCGGGGGGCCAGTGGCTGGCTTCAGGTGGGCCGAACGTGAGGGAACCCCAGCATGGAGGCCTGGGTGGGAGGGTGGGTGCTGAGGGCCTGTCTGCTGTGTCCAGGCTCAGATGACGGCTCCGTGCGGCTCTGGGAGGTGGCTACTGCCCGCTGCATGAGGACTGTGCCCGTGGGGGGCGTGGTAAAGAGTGTGTCATGGAACCCCAACCCCACCATCTGCCTGGTGGCCGTGGCCGTGTAAGTGCGAGGCTGGGGCGGCGGGGTGGGAGCTGGGGCAGCAGGGCTCCTGTCTGAGCGGCTCTGCCTGCAGGGAGGACGCGGTGCTGCTGTTGAACCCAGCTCTGGGGGACCGGCTGGTAGTGGGCAGCACGGACCAGCTGCTGGGCACCTTCACCCCACCCGAAGAGCCTGCGCTGCAGCCCGCCCGCTGGCTGGAAGCCTCAGAGGAGGAGCGCCAGGGGGGCTTGAGGTTGCGTATCTGCCACGGCAAGGTGGGGGGCACGGAATGTGGGGCATGGGAGGGCGTGGGTGGGGGTGCAGAGGAGGGCCTGCTCAGCCAACCTCACCTCCTGCAGCCGGTGACCCAGGTGACCTGGCACGGGCGTGGGGACTACATGGCCGTGGTGCTGGCCACCCAGGGCCACACCCAAGTGTTGATCCACCAGCTGAGCCGCCGCCGCAGCCAGAGCCCCTTCCGCCGCAGCCACGGGCAGGTGCAGCGCGTGGCCTTCCACCCCGTCCGGCCCTTCCTGCTGGTGGCCTCCCAGCGCAGCGTCCGCCTGTACCACCTGCTGCGCCAGGAGCTCACCAAGAAGCTGATGCCCAACTGCAAGTGGGTGTCCAGCATGGCTGTGCACCCTGCAGGTGAGGGGGGGGCTTGAGGGAGACACCCCGGGGGCGGCATCATCGGCACCAGGTTCCCATCACCACGTCTGCCTCCAGGTGACAACCTCATCTGCGGCAGCTACGACAGCAAGCTGGTGTGGTTTGACCTGGACCTTTCCACCAGGCCTTACCGAGTGCTGAGGTGAGGCCCTGCACGTGCGTGTGCGTGTGCGTGTGCAGGCGGGAGGGCTGCCATCGCTGGGCCTTCCCCCACGCCCCTCTCCCACCTGCCCCAACCGGGTCCCCTTTCCAGGCACCACAAGAAGGCACTGCGGGCGGTGGCCTTCCACCCCCGGTACCCGCTCTTCGCTTCCGGCTCGGACGACGGCAGCGTCATCGTCTGCCACGGGATGGTGTACAAGTGAGTGCTGACCTCTCCCCCAGGGGGTGCCCCGGGGACTGCCCTGTCTGAACCCGCCTCTCCCACAGCGACCTGCTGCAGAACCCGCTGCTGGTGCCCGTGAAGGTGCTGCGGGGGCACACGCTGACCCGAGACCTGGGCGTGCTGGACGTCGCCTTCCACCCCACCCAGCCATGGGTCTTCTCCTCGGGGGCGGATGGCACCGTCCGCCTCTTCTCCTAGGAGCTGGCCCGAGACCCTCAATAGAGATGTTTCTCCCCGGCTGGGGCTGTGGCCTTGCGTTTGAGTTGCTGACTAGCTACCCCCACGCTCACGAACTCAGTCTTCCCAGTGGGGGGCCAGCTGACCTGCCCCCCAAGGAAAGGAAGGGGGTGGACAAGTCCTGGCTGAGGAGTGAACAGCTTTATTGGGAGCGGGGGGAGGGGCACAGACTGCCCGCCCTGCCTGGTCCCCGTGGCCGGGCAGGCGCTCTGAGGCTCAGGCCCAGGCCAGCCCTGGCGGTGCTGCTCGTCGGCGACAGCGGGCCGGAGCCTCAGGCGAACTTCACCAGGCGGCCCAGAGTCTCGGCAGCTTTCACTCGCACCTTGGGGGCTGGGTCCTTGAGCAGGAGCTGGAGGGCTGGGGGACAAGGAGCTGCATTGGGGCGCCTCCGTAGCCCTTCAAGAGCTGACCCTGAGCCAGGGCCCCCCCTCAGGCAGTGCTAGGACTCGCCCACCCCCTTCCTGGCGCAGGACCCATGAGCACTCCCCACCCGGTGCGTGGGGCCACCCGCCTACCACCCTCCTAAGACAGGCCTCTGCTGGGAGGGCTCGGGAGCCAACGGAAAGATAGTTTTTCCTTTTTTAGTGTTTTTTAAGCTCTTTTGGAACAGTTAAGAAGTTTCCGTGAATTACTAGAGACGATGAGGTCACCAGTGACAGGGAAAAAATCCTTGAAATCCAGGAAAATCACTTAGTCCCCCCTGGTGCCCACAGGGTCAGTGGGAGCCCTGTGCAGCCAGACAGGTGGGGGTGGCAGGGGGCCCCTGGGCCCTGACCTTGGGGGCGGGGTGCTGCTCACCTGCAATGAGCTGCTCCAGGTCCACCTGCGCCTGCTGCTGGAGCTCCACGTGCAGCACCAGGAACCCTGTGGGCAGGGGCCGGGTCAGGGGGAGGGGAGGCCCTGGGGAGAGGCAGAGAGGGGGGCACTCACCTGTGAGCATGGGCGCAGCCGCGCGGACGTCCTCCCAGCTGCTCTTGAAGTAGAACAGGCTGGTGCTCACGAGGCGGCCCAGCAGGTCTGGGAAGTAGCACATCTGCAGAGGCCACCAGCCAGTCAGGAGCACTCCACACGGCCACACCGTGCAGTTCACGCACCCCACGCCCACCCCCTCACCAGGTGCTTGCAGGCGGCATTGAGGAACTCCCCGAAGTGCAGGCCACGGCCGTCCTGCAGGTGCTTCTGGAAGACGGCTGCCAGCTCCTCGCACTCCAGGTTGGGGCCGCACATGCGCAGGGCGAACCTGCAGGCCTGTGGGGCAGCACTCAGCGCCTGCCTGTCCCAGCCCCGCCCGGCTTCCCCCCCCCCCCCCCCCCGCCGGCCACTCACAACAGCCACAGAGGGCTGGGGGTCCTGCAGATGCAGCAACAGAGGCACCAGGCCCCCCACCACCTGCTCCAGGAAGACTTCCTCGCAGGCCCCGTGGCAGGCCTTGTTGAGGTGCCCAAAGAGGCGGATGGACACAGAGCGGAACTCCATCTTCTCCTGGGGGACAGAGGGGTCACTCGGGCATTCCCAGCCCTGCCAGCCACAGCACCAAGCCCTGGGCCCTTCCCCTCCACATCCTGTCCTTATGCTGTGGGTACTGCCCACCTGCCGGAGCAGAGGTGGGGCCAAGCCAGCAGAGCAAATGGGAGGGAGCCAGGGTGACCCAGGGAGCAGGTGGGGCTGAGGCTGAGGCTCAGGCGGCAGGAGGGCTGGGAGCAGGGGCCTGGCAGAGAGTGGGTGCCCTCCCGTCCCCGCCCGCCCGCCTACACTGTCAAAGAAGGGCCGGATGCGGATGGCCGTGTGCAGTAGCACCGTGCGCAGGTCCTCGGGCTCCACCAGGTCCAGCAGCTTGGCCAGGCCGGCCATGGCCTCCAGGGCCACCAGGCTGTGCGGGTCGTCCCCGTCGTCCAGCCCGCCGATCATGGCTGTCAGGAGCTGGGGGCCGTGGGTCCGCACCTGGGGACGGCCTGCACTTAGCTGTGTCCCAGGTCACCGAGCCCTGGGGCCTGTCACATGGTTCACACAATCACCAGATCCCCCACAGGCTAGCGAGGCCACCTCCACGCACTCCCCACCTGCCTGGATCCCTGGACCACAGCTCACTGTCCCTTCGCCGGCTGGCAGCTCACCTTATCGGGGGAGCCAGAGGCGAGGTTGGCCATGCCGCGGAGCACCAGCCGCCGTACACTGGCACAGGGGTCCTTCTGCCGGGCGGCCAGGTTGTCCAGCAGTGACTCCAGGAGCATCAGGTCGTTCACCACGTTACTGGTGAGCAGCTGGAGGCAGAGGAGCTGTGACCTCCTGTCCTAGGGGCTCACACCCTGGCCTGGCCCCTCCCCAGCGCTCTCAGTGCGCTGCTGGGTAGCCGGTCCCAGGCCACTGTGAAGTGGGTGCTGCAAAGGTCAGCTAGGGACCATGCTGGGCCAAAGGCCTTCCCTGTCCTCTTTCCCACCTTCTGACCCAGCCCACCCGGCCCCATGGTGTGGCCTGGGCAAATTGTCAGCACCATCGGTGCTACTGACAGCAGGGGTGGCACCAGGCGTGGCCCAGGGGGCTGGGTGAGGTCAGTCAGTGCCAGCCATTGGGGGCTGCCCCCCTCCAGGACCCTAGCCATCAGAGCACGCAGCACCTACCTCGGCCAGGAAGGCTGTGGAGGTGACCCTCTGGGCCTCGTACACACTGCTGTGTGCACCCAGCAGCGCCTTCATCACCAGGGGCAGCCGGGGGCCTGCAAACTTGGCCATGGCACTGGGAGAGGAGGCCACGCCATGCAAGGATGGGGCTTTGGGCTACCCACGAGCCCATCCTGGGCCAACTCCCCCATGGAATGGGTGGGGCCTCTTCCACCCTGCACATCAGAGCCCTCAGTCCCAGGAACCTGTGCTCCCCCAACGCCAGAGGGAGGCCCATGTGGGCCCTAGGGTATACCAGCTCTCAGTCTGGGCAGAGACTCAGGAACTCCACTACTAGGGGGCACTCATGTGTGCCTCTCTGTGGGTCCAGGGCCCCTAGCCACTGCCTTGACAGGAGTTGCCCACAGTGCTCACCTGGACAGCCGGGCCACCCCCTCCTCATGGCCTGTGGAGGTGCTCAGCAGCTCCCAGGCCCCCTCCAGCTCCACACGCTGCACCACATCCTCGCTGCCACCCCGCAGCAGCACTGTCCGCAGAGCATCCACTGCAGAGCTGGGGGGACAGGCAGCTGCACTCAGCCCCGCCCCCCCACGCATACAAGTCTCAGGGCTGTGCAGCCTACACCCGCCAGCTCTCCCTCCCCACTCGGCACAGCCAGGTGGCTCCAGACCCTCTGTGAAGACTGCTGCCCCCACTCCTGTGCCTGGACCCTCAGAGCTGTGTCTTCACCTCAAGCCTCTTCCCCATGTGTAGTCTTCCCCACTCAGTGGCCCCCACATCCTGCAGGAAGGGACAGCAGGTGGGGCTCAGGCCACTCCCAGGGGTCAACTGGGCTGCCGTGCGAGTGATGGAGAGCCTGCTCCGAGGACACATGGCCACCAGGGTCACTGGGCAGATGCAGGACCAGCCCCTCACCCACTCCAGGCTGAGACCAGTGCTCTGGGCAGCTCTCGGCTGCAACAAATGAAGGCGTTGGTCTGGCCTGGGAGGATGTGGACAATTTCAGTGAGGAGCCTCCCTGCCAGTGCCTGCTGCCGGAATTTCTGTGGATGTGGCATTTGCAAGGGTCTGACTTGCAGGCTCACAGCCTCCATCAGAGCCAAGACCTTTGCCAGGCTCTGCTCCAGTCTCAGCTCAGGGGTGGCAGCCCAGGGCCCTGGGGAAGGGAACGTGGCCTGCGGCCTACAGCACCCACAACTCCTGCCGTGGGGCAGCGTCTGGCGTTCCAGGCCCTGGGCTCACTGGGTTAGTGTCCTCTGGTCCATTCACATTTTCCACTTGGCCTTGCAGAGCTGGGCAGGGCCTGGCACACAGCCTCTGTGAGGCTTTACGAGCTGGTCCTGGGGCTGAGCAGTCTGCATGGGGCGGGGTGGTGACGCTGCCCCCGTGCATCCCAGCCAAGGGGCACATCCAACGCCAGATCCCTGGGATGGGTAAGGAGGTGGCCCGAACTCACGGCCACTCAGCCCCTGTGCTCACCTGTGGCTGAAGTAGCTGGAGCCCTGAGGGGCCACTGTGTTGGGCCTGGTAGTGGCCCTAGGGACCAGGGCGGGCAGGCAGACATCCAGGCTGCTGAGCTCAGTGACCCACCCTCAGCAAGCAGCTGACCTGGCCTGTGCCCCGTCCCCTGCCAGGGCCAATGCCTGCTTGGCAGAGACCATAGGACCCTAGGCCCACATGAGCCTGGGGGAAGTGGTTGTACAAGCTGAGGCTGGGGCTGACCTGGGACAGCAGACCTGGGAGGGCAGTCAGGCTCCTGCAGAGCTTCTACCTGAGAGGTGCGGGGGGACTGGGCCAAAGAGGCTGTGCTGGAGGAGTGGCTCTGTGCAGGCCCCACAGCACCCCAAACCCTTCCCAAAGGAAGCGCCCTCTGTACCTGCCTGACCGTCCCCACCAGCCCCTGCCCACCAGTGAGGCGCGGCCAGCACTGCCCCAGGGACCTGCAGCACCCCCCAGATGGTCCCCAGCCAAGCTTCTCAGAGGAGAGGGGGCAGCCCAGGGCAGCTGCATCCCCAGGACAGTGTATCACAGGGAGACATGGCTCCCGACATAAACTCGTCCCGCAGCCTGGCTCACACATGCCAGAGGCACCCCAGTGTGGCACGCTCACAGCATGCTCATCTCACAGGAAGGTGCTGGGCAGGAGTGGGGACCTGTTACCTGCAGGGATCGAGGGTCCTGGAGGCCAGAGCTGAGCTGCCGGACCTCCGCTCCTTGGCCTGCAGGTTCCGGGGCAGCTGGACGCCCACCGTGCAGCTGACACGCAGCAGCAGCCCCGCAAATAGCTGGGGGTAGAGCTCGGTCACCGCAAGCCCGGACGCCGGAGCAGACATGACTTCGTGCAGCGCGCAGGTGGCCTGGGGACAGGGGCCACCTCAGGCTCACCCTCCCTTTGGGCCACATGTAACGAGGGGAGGGCGGCCACTATGAAGGCTGGGCCCTGCCTCGTAGGACCCAGAGGACTGGGGTGTGCAGGGACCCCTGAGGGCTGCCCAGCTGGGTCCTGGGGTGGAAGGAGGCTCAGGAGCCATGTGCCCACTCGGGCATGGCCCCCAACCATCTGCTCTGGACTCCTCAGCAGAGAGGAGGAGGGGACTCACAGCTGCTTTACTGTTGAAATTGCTGCCAAGCCAGGTTTATTTTTCCGAAGGATGAAACAGAGGGGTCTCCCTTGGGGACCGACATCTGTGGGGCCTTTACGAGGCTGGGCTCTGAGCTTGCTGGCTCTGGGGCCCCAGGCAGCTGCCAGGTGCCTCTGGGGGCGGTGCCCAGACCACCTGTGGGGTCAGCCCGCCAGTGAGGAGGGGGGAGCGGGGCAGCACTCACCGCGAGAGGCAGCAGCGTGGCCACGCGGTCGGGGGAGCTGCTCAGCAGGAAGGTCCGGCTCTCCTTGAAGGGGACGTCTCTGCTCATCTTCTCCAGCAGCAGCCCCAGCACCTGGGCGCTGAGGCCAGGCTCCATCGCCAGAGCCCGCCACAGGGAGCAGGTGTGGCTGGGCAGGGAGGGTGATTACCGCAAGGCCACTGCCAGCTCCAGCTCCACCCACATGCCCCCAGATCAGCTCCAGCCAGGGGGAAATGGTGCCCTGACCTCAGACCTAAACTCACCGTCCCAACCCCAGGGTCCATAACAGAGAGACTCAGTGAGGCGGTGGGAGGGGTCCCAGGAGCATCTACAAAGCGCGTGGCCATGGCTGAGACCAGGCACAGGAAGTCAGCCTGTGAGGAGAGTAGATGCCCCTGCACATGAGGCTCAGACACAGGAGATGGCTCTGCTAGACGGCAGCGTGCGCGCGCGCGCGCGTGTGTGTGTGTATGTACAGAGGACGTGACAACCCAAACACCTGACAGAATGGGAATTCTAAAACAGAAAGAACCAATGCCCGTTAGGAAGAGCTGTAGCGCTGCTTGGTGGACTCGTGCAGCCTGGATGCAACAGAAGGAGAAACAGGGACCTGAAGGATGGATGGAAGGAACCAGCAGGATCCCGAGTGGGGAGAGGCCATGGTGGGGTCCAGAAGAAGGAACGGGAGACAGGTCTGCAGACACTGACCTGGGTCCCAGGATCAGAGAAAGAGACTGAAGGGCAGCAGAATGAAAAGTGGCCAGAGTTCAGGAAGCTCAGCGCTGCCCAGCAGAATCCAAGGACCCTGGGCCCAACCCAGAACACGCGCAAGACAGTGACCAGGGATGGCTCCTGTGCACCCAGCGGGAGCGCGTGCACCTCACACAGCCCGCCAGTCAGACACAGGACCAGCGGCGGCACAGCCTCTGACAGTGTCGCCAACTGGTGGTTTGTGAGGGCTGATCTGGCACACACAGTGAAAGAAAATGCTGAACCAGAATTCCAAACACTGCAAACAATCATCAAGAAGGCAGCAAACAAATAGGTCCCAGGCCCACGCAGTGCCAGGATGCCAGGATGCACAGGTTGGGCATCGTCCTGTGCACTGAAGGGTCCCTGGTTTGGTTCCTGGTCAGGGCACAGGCCCAGGTTTCAGCTTGATCCCCAGTGGGGGGCATATGGGAGCAGCTGATTGACTTTTGCTCTCACATTAATGTTTCTCTCCCCCCATACTTTCTTCTTTCTCAAAAAAAAAAAAAAATCAAATTAAAAACACACCAAACTAAACAGAAACAAGTACATTCCAGCTGACCAAGTGCAGCGTTTCAGCAGCAGACCCTCAGCAAGGAAGCCCTGGAGGAAGCCCCTCACGTGGGAGGAAAGTGAGGAGCAAAGCCTGGTGCCCCGTGGACAACGCACATGCCACCAGGATGGCGAGGACACACAGGGGAGTGGGCGGTGGACGGTGGGCAGGAGGACAGCCCATCCCCTGGCACCCAGGCAGCCGCACACTATGGGAACCAGGGGGCACGCTGGGCCAGGTAACACGTTCCTCATGGACACTGAGACGGACCTTCACGTGGTTTCACGTCATGAAACATGCTCCTGATTTTCTCAGCTCACAGGCTGTGCAACGGGCAGGTGCGATGTGGGGAGTGCCGACCCTGACCCAGGTCAGCCCACTCCTGTCCCAGCCCGTGCCCACAGGACACCATGTGACCAGAAAGGAGGAGCGGCCGCACATGTGCCAGAGACAGCACGCCCATGGCTCCCTCCACAGGCCGCCCACGTCCCACAGGCCTGTGACTCCTCAGGCCCCTCTGGAAGTGACGCCCCCATGAAAACTGAAGCCCGGGATGGACGAGGAGCCACACGCAGACACGGGCGGGCACCGCCCCAGAATGACCTCCAGGAGCTACGGCGATAGCGGGCAGGCGGGCGGGCGGGCGGGCACAGGGCCTGGAGGGGAGGGAGGCGCCCGTACAGGTCCCTCCCTGGGCCCATGTGGTCATTTTAGAACGACCCCTGAAGGAACAGAGGCAGAGTGTACGACCCACAGTAACGCGTGGGAAAGAGGACATTATGGCTGCACCAGCGAGATGACGAGGCCGAGATGGGAGGGCAGAGGAGACACCAGGCAAGCAACGGCTAAGGTCACCTCAAAGCAAAATCCTCGCGTGTGACGGTGCTAACGCAAGGCTGGCAGGACCCGAAACGCAGAGCACAGGGTCTCTAGGTGACAGTGGCCCCCATCACCAAGGGGGCAAGCAGCACAGAAGCAGTACGGGCGGCAACGGCCACCAACAGGTTGAGGTGAGGAAGGAGATGGGAGAGGACAGGAGCCGGGAGTGCGACACGGGGGACGGGAACCCCTTCCTGGCTCAGAGTGAGGGCCAGGCACCAGGGTCTGCTCACAGATGGGGTGACACCCTACAGTGGATAGGCCAGAAGTGACCGCGAGCCCAGGGTGACCCCTGAAACCTGGAGGGCACAGTGACCCCAAGGCAGGGCCTGGGTCTCACTGGTGCCCAAAAGGAGGCGCCAAGTGCAGAGGCAGGTGGATATTGGGGGTGCAGGAATCTGATGCGGTGCCCACCCCAGCAGATGGCAGACACCAGGTACCTGTCGAAGGGCAGGGGACTGCCCAGGAGGCTGGTCACCACGGCCACGCAGTGCTGGGACGCCAGGACATACACGCTGTGCTGGGCCGACTGCAGCACGTGCTCCTCGCGGCTCTCCTGCAGCTTGGAGCGCAGCACGCTCATGATCTCAGGCACCTACGGGTGGTGGGTGCGGCGTCAGACCTGGAAGCAGGCAGCCAGGAGCCAGGTGCTGTCCATGGGGCCATGGGAGGGGGCAGCCCAGGAGCTGCAAGGCCGCTCATGGGGTAGGGCAGAGAAGGAAGCCTGGTGCCCTCTGGATCTGTGTGGAGCACTGAGGCCAAGAGGCCCCAACAGCCCCTCACTCCCTATTCAGGGTGTCCCAGCCTCAGGCGCTCTGACCAAGGGGCAGTGGGCTGGGATGGAGGAGAGAGAAGAGGAAGCTGACAGACCCCCGACTGAGGCTGGGATGGGCCAGGAGAGGGAGGGCCATGGTCTCCATTGCGAAGCCACCAATGAGGCAACCAGCGCGAGGAGCCTCCTCACTGGCCTCCTCATTCTGGGTCCCCGCCCTCAGCAGGTGCTGGCCCCGACCACAGGGCCCCCACTGCATGCTGCACACATGGAAAACACGTGGTCTGAGGAGAAAACAGAGGAGACAGAGCTGTGGGACAGGGCTGCTGGCAGACGGTGCACCCACCAACCGCTGGGTCCTGGGCAGGGCTGGCCAAGACACCTGCCCAATGGGACCCCGAGACGGCGCTGGCGTGGCTGACATGAAACCTCCCAGGCCAGGCCTCGCCTGCTCTTCCATGCAGTGTGTGGCATGGGGCCCCTCTCAAAGGGTTTGTGAACAATGACACCTCAAATACAGAACGAGGACCAGCCCCCTCGCCGTGCCCCTCCCAGAACCTGGGCATGGCCATGCCTACTGGACCAGCGCCCTCTGCTCCCAGCTCGGGCAGCGTGGCAGTAGGAGGTGCTAAGCCGGAGCTGTGCTTCCTGCACAGGCCTTCTCCCCTCTTGCTCTCTGTTCTGTACAATGTGCTATTTTGCGATCATGGGTCACAGACTACCTGCTAGAACCAGTTTCTGACTCGATGTCAGAGGAAGTGTCCAGGTGTCTCCTAGAGGCCCCTTGCCACGCCCTCTCAGGGCAGGAAGGGAAATGCGGACACCAGGCATCACTGGCCACGTCACTGCAGCTGAGGTGTCAGGAGGCAGATCGGCCCAGGACGAGCCTGGGCGTCAGAGCCCCGCCTCTGGGTCTGTGACCCTGAGCTGGAAGGAGATGGCTCGGCAGAGTTCTCCTAGGAGCCCAGCAGCTGGCTTGGTATGTGGGGCGCCTGCCTTTCCCAAGAACGGGGTGGGGGGGACACCCAAAGTTATAAAACTTCTTTATAACTTTGGGCTTGGCGATGGCTTCTTTGACACCAACAGCAAAAACAGACGTGGGATACATCAAACGTCTATGCATCAAAGGACACATTCAAGAGCGAAAGGCAACCTGCAGAATGGGGAAAATACCTGCCAGTCGTATACTTGGTAAAGGGTTAATATCCAGAATTTATAAAGGACTCAACAACCACACAACCACACAGCCTGACTGACAAGCAGGAAAAACACTTGAATAGTCATTCTCCAAAGACAAATGGCCAACACGCCCAGGAGAAGACGCTCAGCATCAACAACAGTGAGGGAAATGCAAATTGCAACCACTAGGGGGCCCGGCGCTGTGGGTGGGTGGTTAGAGCGTTGGCCGGAACCCCACAGGATCCAGTTTGATTCCGTCAAGGGCATGCAATTCCCAGTTCAATCCCCGGCCCTGGTGGGGACACATGTGGGAGGCAACCAATCCATGTCTCTCTCTCACACTGACGCTTCTCTCCCCCTTTCTGCATCTCCCTCCTCTCTTCCATGCTTTCTAGGAATCAATGGAAAAAGTATCCTCGGTGAGTATTAACAAAAAGCCCACAGAGGACACCACGTCATGCTCATCAGGCTGGCTATACACAAAATTTATAAATAATATATAATATATATAATATATAAATTATAGTGACCTCCTCCTCTCCCACGTTTTTTACGCTCTCTATATGACCATGAATCCTGCACCTATCTGGGCAGACCTCTCTGTTTGAGCACAGATTCTATTTTTCCTACTGGTTACTTGACATCCAGCTTAGTCATCTTTCTGCCTAAACTTGCACTTCTTCGGGTGCTCTAAATCTCAGTTAATGGCTAACCTAGAAACATTAGGAAAAACACTTGAATAGTCATTCTCCAAAGAAGACATACTAATGGCCAACACGCCCATGAGAAGACGCTCAGCATCAACAACGGTGAGGGAAATGCAATCACCAGTGTTGGCGAGGAAGGAGAGTAGCTGGAACCCTCATGTGCTGTTGGTGGGAATGTAAATTGATGCAACTACTATGGAAAACAGTATGGTGGTTCCTCAAAAAGTCAACAGATTTTGACCCTGCAATTCTGCTTCTGGGTAGCTCCCCAAAGCACAGAAAATGAATGTAAAGAAGATATTTACACACCATGTTCGCAGCCTTATTCTTAAAATAGAAGCTATGAGACAGAAGCAACCCAAGTGTCTGCCGACAGCTGAAAAGAAACACAGGACAGGGGACCGCCTCCAGCTGGCCGTCCCCCTCCACCTGCCCAGAGCCACGGCCTCCAGCTGGCCATCCCCCTCCACCTGCCCAGAGCCACAGGACACCTTCCTGAGGAAGGGAGAGAGGTAGAGAGCTAGAAACATCGATGAGAGAGAAACATCGACCAGCTGCCTCTTGCACACCCCCCACCGGGAATGTGCCCGCAACCAATGTACATGCCCTTGACCGGAATCGAACCTGGGACCTTTCAGTCCGCACACCGACGCTCTACCACTGAGCCAAACCAATTTCGGCTCCACCTTACTTTCTGAACAGAGTGACTTGCCAAATTCTCAGTCTCCACACAAAAGAGAATTTGTCCCTGTTAGATCCACAGGGAAAGGGAGCAGGGTAGGGAGCCCCCACTTACCCAGCCCTGGCCACACAGATCTAGACAGACCCAAGGTCCATGCCTAGCCACAACCCTCCCCAAACAAGCCACGCCCACAAAATGCCTTCCCGCTCCGCCCCACCTTCTCCAGCAGCATGCTGCCCCGCTCCTTCAGCAGGCAGTTGATCATGACTGTAGCTGCTCTGGAGCAGTTCTTGTCGGGGTCCCCCAGGCTCTCAAACAAGGTGAGCAAGAGGTTGATGAGCTGAGCCGGCGGGAGGCGCTTCGCAATAATCTAGAAAGAGAGCTGAGGTCAGAAACCAGAGGAAGGGCTTCCAGACAAGGCATCTCTGGGCGGGGCCAGCGCCATTCTGCCTGAGGCCCCTCCTCCAGCCCAACACCCTCTTCCTGGCCCAGCGCTGTGAGGAGCCCCTACCGGGTGCCAGGGGCTGTGGCCCAGTCACAGAAGCCCCAACTCCTCACTGGAGCCTGCGCTCCCATTCCTGTGCCCCAAGCCCACTGCCCTGAGCTGCACCCAGTCCAGCGCCCTGCCACGCCCATGATGCAATGGGCTCCTGCGAGTCCCCTCTGGGGGGCAGCCTCCCCTCTGGGGGGGGCTGGCAGGTACCTGAGCTATGCTGTGGCAGGTGTGGAAGAGGATGGCAGGGTCGGGGTGCACAAGGCCGTCCTTGAGGGTGAGGAGTCGCTCTGCCACGTCGTCCCGGTAGTCACGGGAGAAGCCTGTGGAGCAGGAGCACGTGGAGCTGGGCAGGACCCCTGGCCACCTGGGCCCAGCCTGCTCCTCATCCCTCCCACATCTCTGCCCAGCCAGAGGCTCACCCTCGTAGCCCAGCTGGAGGTACAGCAGGGAGTAGACACAGCTCACAGCCTCCTGGCGGGTGGCAGGCCACAAGTCCGCACAGCGTGGGGAGAAAAGGCCGACCAGGAGGCCCAGGTTGTGGAAGGGCACCAGGGCCTGGAGAGGAGGGGGAGGTGCTGTGGGGAAACTGGCGGGGGGGGGGGGGGGAGAAGGGAGCTGGGGCCGGGGATGAGGGGATGGACAGGTGCTGCCTGTACCACTGAGACCCAGCTATGGACCCAGCTCAGGCCATACCCAGTTCGCCGGGGACCTAAGAGGGACACAGGGCAGCGCCAATCAGGAGACAAAGACGGAGCCCCACAGGCAACAGAGGGGCAGGACTCCAATGACTCCACCAACCCCATGGGAAGCCCCAGAGGCAAATCCCACCCCATGGGGGGAACTGCAGGAGCCCCTTTTACCAGCTGGTCCTGGTCCCGTTTCCAGGCCCTTCTCCTCTCCTCAAACACTGAGCCTTGCATCCCACTCTGGGCCTTTCAACACCAGTACGACCCCAACCCACCCCCCTCGGACTTCCTGCCCTTCCTGCTCCCTGGTCCAAGGGCCTCCGCCTGGGGACTCGTGGGAGGAGGAAGGCTGGAGTGTTGGGCAAAGGACCCTGGGACCAGCTGCTGCTCATCTTGGGGAGGTCAGGTGTCTGTGACAGCTGGACGGGGTCCTGTGAAGACCAGGCATGAGAGAGCCGAGTGGGAAAAGCCTGGCATGCACACGGAAGGCAGGAGCCATTGGAAGGCCTGCGCAGATCTGGCCTCATAAGGAAGGAAAGCTTAAGCACATTTTTTTAAAATAGTAAAGCATCAAGAGAAACAGCCTATAATCACCCTGATAGGGAAAAAAGGCAACATCGTCTTGTGCTCCTGATAAAAGTCCTCATTAAGACCTTGGCCAGGTAGCTCAGTGGGTTGGACCCCATCCCGATAGGCCAAGGCTGCAGGTCTGATCCCTGGTCAGGGCACATACACGTAGCAACCAAGCACACATAAATGGAATAATAAATTGAGGTCTCACTCTCCCCTTTTTTCTCTCTCTAATCAATAAATTTCAAAATCAATGTCCTCATTAAAATGTATGATGTGTGGAATGTGAGAAAAAGTAAACGTGGCCCAACAGGTCAAGCTTTGGGCTCAGCAGCAAAACTCGCCGAGGAGGGGTTGTCATCTCATGTGTCCCCAAAGTGCTGGACGAAGAAGGGACTAAGGTGCAAGTACGGGGAAGAGAGGGGGACCAAAAGTCCCAGCGTTTGAAATCTGATATGCAGCATGGGGTTATGTATCTGAGAAACCAGGACACTTACTAAAAGCTAATCAGCAGGAACAGAAGAACTTGTAAACTACCCAGTTACTAAGTACCCCAAAACCCAGGTTCCTCCGTCCCAGTCAGCAGTAACCAGGCCGGAGTGAGGGGAGTCACACTGACAACCACACCACCCAGTGGAGGGCTGGGGCGCCCCCTCCCAGCCACTGCAGCTCAGCTACGTCCTCGGATCTGTCCACTTGCCACACGAGTGCCAGGCTGTGTCCCATGACACCTGGGTAACAGCCTCGAAGGACACTGGAATTCTGGGAGAGCACACACACGAGCTCCATGGTCTCACCAAACATGAGATGCATACTCTGGCTCTCGGGCCAGCTTGGACCTCCCCTCCCCGCTCCACCTTTCCACAACATCCCCTGTGGTCGGGCTCTGTCTTTGCCCACCTGCTGCTTCCACCTCCAGAGCCTCATCGTCTCCCCTACACCTGCTCCCAGCATGTGTTCCCTCCCTCGGGGCCAGGTACACTTTAGTCCTGGATGACACGTGGGCCCGTAAGACTGAATTCCGGTGGCCAGCCCTGAGAACACTCAGCCCTGCCGGGCCTCCGTCCACGTCTTCAGGCAGAGCACGGACACTGTCCAGGTGTGGGATGTGCCTGGGCTGGTGGCCGATGACAGCAGGAAGCCCGCCGAATGCTTGGTGACATGAGGGCAGCCAGCACAGGCCCCGGCCAGGGGACCGAGGGACGGGACAGGATGGTCAGGAAAGTGGGGCGGAGTGCCTGTTACTCACACTGACGTGCAGGTGCTCCAGGAAGAACTGCAGCAGACAAGCGCTCAGGCCCAGCGCCCGCACCCGCTCGTAGCCCCGCGGGGACTTGATCCACGGGCTCAGGTGCTGGGGAAGATGGGAGTTTCACACGGGTGCCCAGGGGACAGCCCAGGAGGCAGGAGCCTGTGCTGTGGGCAGGTGAGTGGCCCTGTCAGGCCACCCTTCCAAGCTTCAGGGTGGGTCACCACAGCTGCAGCTTATCCCTGTCCTGCTTGGCCTGGACCGCACACATGGCCCCCCAGGGGAATCCAGAGCAAGCTGGGCCTACAGAGGGATGGGGTGTTCCCAGGGAGGGAGACAGCATGGCCACCACCTGCCCATCCCAGCGTCTCGATGGCCCCAGACGATCAGAAGCTCACAGATGAGGCTCCTGTGGGGTCTCTGGGTCCCAGCACCATCAGATGAAGAAAATGCAGGAATGGGCTCTAGGCCTCATCTGGGTGAGGGCCGACCCCACCTGCACACCTACCCACAAACCCCCACTGCAGAAAGCACAAATGGCCCTGTGCCACCCCTCGGCAAGGAGGGTCCTGAGAAACAATGGAGGATCAGCTGCCAGGTGCCCACTCCAGACAGTGCACCCCACTGCCCACCTCCACCATGAGCTGCAGGCCCTGGGGGGTCATGTTCCGCTGAAGGATGCTCCTCAGCAGATCCTCAAGGGCGTTCATGGTGTCCTGGTACAGGACCTGGAGGTAGGGTAGGAGGCATCAGCCCACCAGTGACCACGCCGCCCACAGCAGCCTCTCTCCGCCCCCCAAAGACACTGATGGGGGCGAGGGGCACATGGAGATACCTCCTGGGGGCCATCCTCCCCCTCGGGCTCGGGCAGCACAGCCATGACACTGTGCAGACAGCTGTTGATCATGTCCGCCTGCACCTGCTCTTCCAGCTCGGGCTCCAGGGAGCTGAGGGACAAGTTAAGGCGGGATTTGTCCAGCCACACTCCACCCTGTGCCCTCACCCAGGAGCCTACCCCAGAGGAAAGGATACTTCAGGTGAGTGCAGGCGAGCATGGCCTTCTTCCGAATGGGCGTTCGTAGCGAGTCCGGGGGCTCTGCCTTGATGAAGTCCTGAGGGGCAGGTGACAGCCCTAAGCCGAAGCACCGGTTCTCCTCCCAGTTGGCTCCCATCAGGCTGTGCCCAGTAGGTGCTGGGCCCTCACTGCACGGGCCCCACTTCCCCTCGTCCGAGTCAGAGCCCTCCAGCCACCCCAGGCCCCAGAGCCGCACGGCCTCACCATCATCTGGGCCACCAGCTCGGCCTTCCTGGCGAAGTGGAAGGAGCCGGCCTGCGCGCTGCTGCAGATGGCCTGGCACACCATGCACACGCTCTGCACGAGGCACAGCTGCAGGCCCAGGTCCTGCAGGGACAGCAGGCTGCAGAAAGTGCCGACCCTGCTCCCCAGCCACTGCCCTGGGTCCACAGGGCTGAGCCCATAGAGGGGCTGCCCACAGCAAGAGGCCAGACCACACAGCCTGTTCTTAAGGGCTTGTCAAAGCCACAGGACAAGAGGGCGCCTGTGAAGGCACCTTGAGGCACTCGGCTCTCTGCCTGGCCCAGGTCCTGAGACCCTGAAACCCTGAGGCCCTGGTCATGGCCGTGGGCAGGCCTTGTGGGCAGGCCCTGCAGGCAGATGGTAAGCTCTACCTGTGTCCCCTGCGTCCTGTGGCTGGGTCCCCCAGGTGGGAGAAGGAAGCCCACTTAAGAAAAGCCCCACCAGATGGGGACGCCCCTGCCTGTCCCACCAATCTGGCCTCTGAGGGTTTGGGGAAGGTAGTGAGGAGTTGTCCAGGGGGCATGGGTGGTCCCCCCTACACTCTAATGGGCTTGGGGGGGCAACTCTTAGGACAGCCCCTCCCCCAGCAACCCCAGGAGAACAGAGGGTCTGTCTTCGAGGGGAGGGCCCAATGGTCACAAAGGGCTTCCGGGTTAGTGCCAAAGGTCCCAGCAGGAAACATGTTAGTGAGGCCAGAGGCCACTGTCGCTGGCTCAGAGCTTAGCCTTTTTCTGGAGCAGCTGTGAGGCCAGCCCTGTGAACACAGGGGAGCGGGAGCCAGAAGAAGGACTAAGGTCCCCAGCTCCCTGCTCTGCCTGCCAGCCTCTTCCCACCGCGAGCCAGGGCCCGGGCCAGAGCAGGGAGGGGCTGCTCCAAGCTACATGAGGACGCCCCCTGGCTCCTCCCGTGAAGCCCAGCCCAGCTCAGCACAGAGAGGAAAGCACAGTCCACGCTTATCTCCTACACACTGTACCTTGGTCTCTACCTTTATTCCCAGAACCTGAACAACAAAAAGTGAGAGGCATTAACATGTGCGATGCTAGGTCGGGCTCATGCCTGCCCAGACGCCCGCCCTGTGCCCACCTTGGTGCTGAAGCACTGAAACATGTTCCGCAGGATGTCGGACTCGACCCTGGCCAGCAGCTGCTCGCTGGGGGCCTGTGCCGCCACATGGCCATAGCACAGGATCAGCGTGCCCTTCACTTTGTCTATGTCATTATCGCTCCGGTCCTAGATGGGGTGGGGGCAGTAGGCCTCCGTCACACAGTCAGCTCCCTGTGGCCCCTGCCCTGCGTCCCACACCCCTCAAGAGGCCTCCCACACAAGCACCGAGTCTCTCTGGAAGAAGGCAGGGCTGCCAACAACATCGGAGGCTTAACCGACCACCAGCCCTGGGAGAGCCCCTCCGTTGGGAGCAGTAGGACAAGCCAGATCTAGGCTCTTTGGGGCCCAAGGAACAGACCAAAGGTCTGGGCAGGGAACAAGGTGGGAGGGTCAAGCAGGAGGAAGCCGAGCCAGGGCCTCCTCTGCCCCTCGCCTGCTCACACCTACACACAGGAGTGTGGGTGGGCCCTATGCACACAGCCCAGGCCTCAGAGTCTGTGACTGGGACCGGCCTCAGGGGTAGGCACCTAGCCCTGCTGTAGTGGTTTTGGCAAGAATGCAGCCTCTACCGGCCACCAGGGGGCAGAGAGGAATAGACAGCGGATGAGACGGCCAGTGGAGGAGGCAGCTTTCATCCTGCCTCCCAGACTGGCAGAGGGCTAGTTGCCCCTTGTCACCGGTTGAGGGGGAGCCCACACTCAGTAGCCCCACCCACGAGGAAACAGAGGCTGGATGTGGCTCCCCACCCCATCCCCGGCCAGCAGGCACCCAGAGCCAGGTTGCCCTACCGCCCAGGACCGTAGAACCCAGTCCAGTCCCATCAGACCTCCTCCCCAGACCGACTGCTGCACCTTAAAAATGTTGAAGATGCCGATGGACTTTCTGAACACATCCGACCTCACAAAGTCCTCCAGCTGAGCCAGGGTGTCGTCCAGGTGGGAGATGGCACAGATCCCAAAGCAACAGGCCAGGCCCTAGGGAGGTGCATGGGGCACTCACACCGGGGCAGGGAGACAGGGGTTTGGGGGAGAGGACAGGAGGACCATGCATTATGCATGCACACTGCACACACCATATGGTTGCATCTGTGCACAGCACACACGTAAACACTCACACTCACTAGTGCCTAAGAGAGGACAGTGAACATTGCCAGCCAGTCGTGGGCCCAGGACTTTGGGGGGTGGGGATGGGTGCTGGCACCTCACGCTCGGCCTCCTCCTGGTATCTGGCTGTTTCCAGCAGCTCCTGCAGGAGTTTCCTCACCACGTCCTTACTGGAAGCAGCACCCAGGGTGGTCCCCACACATTTGTACAGGAAGTTCTGCAGCAAAGCCAGGGAGTGCTGTGCTGGTGCCCGGTGGAGGAAGGCCCGGCTCTGCCAGCCAACGTGGGAGGCGCTGCTGGGAACCTGTGGTTCTGGCCACTGCCTGAGCAGGAAGTCTCCAGCCACCAGCCACTATGCAGAGGCTCATAGGCCTTCTCTTCTAGGCTCTGCCAGAGCCACAAGGGCCCAGAGGTAGGCTCAGGCACCAAGTGACGCAGAATCAAAGCCCAGGAGCTTGGATCTAAGGACTATGCCCAGAAAACCCCAAAAGACTATTCCCCCACACTTTCTCCCAGGATGCCCCCCACCTGGCACCCTTTCCTGGGGCTCTCCCCACCCCCCGCATCTTCCCCTGGGGCTCCTCCCCCTCACACCTTCCCCTGGGGCTCCCCCCCATCTTTCCCTGGGGCTCCCCTCACACCTTCTCCTGGGGCTCCCCCTCACATCTTCCCTTGGAGCTCCTCCCCCCCATCTTCCCCTGGGGCTCCTCCTCACATCTTCCCTTGGGGCTCCCCCCTTTCTCTAAAGGCTCCCCCCCATCTTCCCCTGGGGCTCCCCCCCATCTTCCCCTGGGGCTCCCCTCACACCTTCTCCTGGGGCTCCTCCCTCCACCTTCCCCCACCTCCTCCTGGGGCTTCCCCCAAACCCGCACCTTCTCCTGGGGCATCCCGTTGTAGCAGGGTAGCTGCTTGCACATCTCCAGGCTCAGCTGGCAGATCCACGTGTTGTCAGACACGACAGCAAGACTGTCCCGAAGGAACTGCAGGCAGGAGCAACAATGAGGCTGGGACACAGCCTCCCAGGACGGGCTGGGGAGGTGGTCCTGTGCCATGGTTCTGAAAGGTAGTGGGTGCCTCTCGAGTCCAGGTAGACATGCAATGGGTGAGGGTGATGACAGCTGGGCCAGGCAATGGCAGACAGAGGCACTGTGGCTGGGCAGCTCAGAGCCCCTGCAATCTGGCTGTCACAGCAGCCGGGCAATCTGGAACAGTCCTCACCCCAGAGACATCTATCTGTCTCTCCCCCAGGCATGCCACTCAGTCAAGGCAGGTGGCCCAGCCCCAGAAAGCTAGTCCCCCAAGCTCTCCCCACCCAGGCTGGCCACACCTCAGTCTCTTCTCCCTTCTCTCACCACCAACAGCTTTTCCTCCCATTCCTTCTGTGACAGGGTCTTCTCAGTATGTTCTGAAATGACAATCACCAGTGAGGTCTGCCTGGCAGACCTCACTCCAGACAAGAATGGAGTGTTCAGAACACCCAGCCCAGGTCCCACCCAGCACCCCCACCTGACTCAGGTCCCACCCAGCACCCCCACCAGCCAAGGCCCTGCCCAGCACCCCCACCTGGCCCAGGCCCAAGCCCCACCCAGCACCCCCCACCTGGCTCAGGTCCCACCCAGCACCCCCACCAGCCCAGGCCCTGCCCGGCACCCCCACCTGGCTCATTATGCATGCACACTGCACACACCATATGGTTGCATCTGTGCACAGCACACACGAACACACTCACACTCACTAGTGCCACCTAGCACCCCCACTTGGCCCAGGCCCCGCCCAGCACCTCCCACCTGACTCAGGTCCCACCCAGCACCGGAATCTGGCCCAGGCTCAGGCCCCGCCCAGTACATTCCACCTGACTTATGCCCCACCCAGCACCTCCTCCTGGCCCAGGTTCCACCCAGCACCCCCACCTGGCCCCGCTCCACCTTCTGGAGCACAAAGGAAACCCAGAGGGGCCCACATCCAGGTGCTCCCAAGTGACACCAGCAGGAGCACCCTTGGGACCTGCTGTCTAGACCCTCTCTGAACCCCAGTGGAGGCTACTTCTTCCCAATTAGGCAACCCTGGTCCTCACAGGCCAGAGCTGCCCTGACAGGCATAGCGGGGTGCAGGGGCCCCACCTCCTGGGCCTCACCTTCCAGGTACTCCAGCAGCAGGGGGATGGTCGTTGCCCACCGCTGACCCAGCAAAGGGTGGATGTCCCGATGCAGGATGTTCAGGAGGCACAGCGAGGCAGCCCCACGGCTGCCCCCCAGGTAGGGGCTGGAAGACACGGTCTGCAGAGGCGCAGGGGGAGTTCGCGCCCATGCCAGACCATAAGGCCGCCCACAAGGTACTGGGGTGGAGGCAACAAGCCCCTAAGACACAGCTCCCCAAGACCTAAGTGGGAGTGCCTGTCTGGCCCCCATTGAGAGGCAGCGTTCTTTGCTCGGCCATGACAGTGCCAAGAGCACGGGACCCAGGGACAGAGGGGAGTGCCCAATCCTCTCCCGATCCCTCGGAGAGAGCTGCATGCTCACCAGAAGCCTCGTGGCTATGGCGTATGGAGATGGCAGGGTCACTGCAAGGGAGACAGGACTCTCAGAGCTGCTTCCAGGGCGAGGTAGGTGGGGGCGGGGTTAGCAAGGGGCAGGGACCTAGAGGGGCGGGGCTAGAGAGGGCCGGGGCCTGAGGCCTTGTACACCAGCTGCGCACCGTTGCCATCATACTGGATGAGGGGGGCGTCAGCCGCTGCCTCCTGCCTCTTCTGGGCCAAGTGCACGAGGCTCCGGCAGAGCGGGGTCAGCGCCCCTGTGAAGCGCACGGGGGTAAGGAACTCGAGCAGGTGCGGCCAGAGGACCTAGGGGCAGTGCCATGGTCAGTGTAGCCGCAGGGGCCACAGACTCGGAGAGGCTCCCCACACACACACCCCTGCAGGCCCCATGGAGCTCAGGAAAGTTTGGCTAGTCAGGGCTTGAAGGGCGTGGTCAGTCCCCGGGCGGGGAGGGGCGGGGCGGGGCGGGGTGGGGCGGGGCACGGCGCTGCGCACACTCACTTCGCTCATTCTGTCCACCGTGGTGCTGACCAGGTAGAGGGTGCTGATGCTGACGTCACGCACGCTGTTGGCCGGGCGCTCCTCCTCGCCATTGGGTTTCTGATGCTGGAGGACGGGGCGAGGCAGGAGCACATGGAGCGCACACAGCATGGCTGTGACCCAAGGTTCCGGGGCCATGGGCTCTGGGCTGTGAGGTCAGACCCGGCCCAGCCACCACCCAGGGGATAGCCCCGCCCCATGAACGGGATATGCGGTCTGCACTAAACTCGCCCAAGAAAGCAGGCTCACTGGCTTAGGTCTAGTCTCCGAAGTAAAGGAAACCCTGCGCATGTCCTGTGGCCACTGCCTGCCTGAGGAGTAGCCTCACCCGACTCTGGCCCTGCTGACGTCTGGCCTTCCTGGAGACGTCACCTCCTGAGAACGCCCACTTGGACCAGGAACAGACTACAACCTCCAGACAGCATGGGGCCTCTGAGACGTGTGCATCCATGAGTGACCAGCCTCCTAGGGCTCTGCCTGGCCTTCCATTCCTGCTTCGGAGCACAGCGCCCAGCGCCATGCTCAGCAGCTGCAGGACTGCAGGCTGACACCACTCGTGGGATGTCCAAGCCAAGGAGAAACACTAGGTTGTGCAGGCCTGACACTGCAATGTGTAAGCTCGCTCTAAAAATACACCAAACACACAGAAACAACTCTAAAGGCCTGACCACCCATTAGGCCAAAAAAGGTATCTGAACAGACTCTTAAAAGCGGAACTATACCTCGCCAGATTCAATGCGGATGATGCAATAAAGTTACAAATCTACAATAGCCACGAAAAGCCGTTCCTCTAGAAAAGGTTAGATACCCTGAGGGGAACTTTGGGTTAATGAGGAACCCAAATAGAAATGGCAAACTATCTCACAGGGGCCAGCAAGACCACTGCAAGTCCATCAGGAGCAGAACTATGAGGACACAGCCAAGAACATACCTGCCCTGGGGAACACGCTATAGTGTCTTTCAAAGGCAGTTTTAATGTTTCAGAAGCCCAGGTCATTGCTTTGTTTTTTGTAATTTATAGACCATGCCAGTCAGTAAGGCCTCGCTTAACCCCAGGGCTTTCTCCTAGGTTGTCTTCCAGAGTTTTTAAGTTTTAGGTTTTAGATTTAGGTCCAGGATACATTTTGAATATTAATTTTTGTTTTGGCTGAGGTTATTTTGCATATTTGTCCAATTGTTTCAGCTCCACTGTTGACACCATGCAACAGGTGTCAGAACATCTTTACAAACCCCAAATCCGACCAAGAGCTTGTACCCAGAATTCATAGAGAACGCTCACTACTCAAGAACAAGGAAACAAACAATCCAACTCAACTCAGGCAGAGGCTGTGGCCAGACAATAGGAGAGGACACACGGAGCCGTGAGCGCCTGAGGAGACCGGCCCCAAGCGCAAGGCGGCCAAGCCCCGTGTTCTCCAAGGCTGGCGGCGGCAGGGATGGCAGACCACCCCGAAGTGCCTGTTTCTTTCACCAGCGTCTAGCTTGCTCTCCCTCCAGAAAAGGATTTGCTTATTAACATTTTAAATAGAAAAGCCTAAAAGAGAGCCCATACCTGTTCTGACTCTCTTGTCTGAGGATTTGCTTATTAACATTTTAAATAGAAAAGCCTAAAAGAGAGCCCATACCTGTTCTGACTCTCTTGTCTGAGGACGTGACCACTGGGTGCAGAGGCCCCAACCGACTCTAGAGAAAGCTGCTGGGCCCGCTCCGCCTGCCCCCACCTGGGGCCACGCACCTCCTGGTGCCCACTATCCAGCAGAGCCGACAGGTCCCCGCCCCAGCAGGGGGAGGGCCCTTACCTGGGTGTCGGGGGGCAGTGCACACTGCTGCACGATGTACTCCAGCATCGCCTCGCCCCCGGGCTGCTCCAGGTAGCCATGGTGGGCCATGGCGCTGATCACCTGCACCACTGCCCGCTTCACCTGCACAGAGGGACAGGCTGGACAGTCCAGTCTGGACACAGGAGTCTCGCCCTTTTCTCTGCCTGCACCTGAGTGGTGCCTCACATTCGGGGCCGGGCTCCTCCTACCCCTCCCCAGCTGGCGATAGAGGGGCCTCCCTCTGAAGGGTGAGAGGGAGGTTCCTCCATCGCCAGCTGTCACCAAAACTCCTGGGAGTCCTGAGCCTGCCTTCCAGCCCCGCAGTGGCTCCACCTGAGGGCACGGCCAGGTCACCTCCTCCAGGGCCACATCGCTCCAGCTCCGCCTTCAAGGGGCTGGCAACAGAGGTCTACATGATGGGAGCCCCAATAAAGACCCTGAGACAGACCAGAGTCCCCCCGGAGTGGCAGCCTCTGTGCAGTCATATCCCTGCCCACGATTCCACGGGGACAGGGCAACTGGGGCTCCCATCCCGCCATTGTGGGCCTGCCCCACGTGCTTCCTTCCCAGCTGAGGTTGCTCTGTCTTTTCATTGCAATGAGCCAAGATTGAGAATGGCAGCTCTCATGAGTTCTGGAGTCCTTCTAGAGAATTCTCGAACCTGAGGGTGGTGTTGGGACCAGTGCCTGGGAACTGTCAGGAGCAAGGCGTGGGATGCCCAGACACACAACACCTGTGCACACTGATGCTGAGGGCTGGCTGCGGGCCGCGCCCAGTCAGAGCTGGTGCAGATCCTGGCCCAGCCACTCTCTGCAGCAGCCGAGGGCCCAACTCCGCTGGCCCCGCCCCTTACTTTGCTGTTGGTGTCCAGAAGAGGAAGCCTCATAGAGGACAGGATGAAGGGCTTCTTAACTTCCATTTGAGCAGCTGCAAGAAACGAACCAGTGGCTCAGCCTCCCCATTGAGACTGACGCCAGCTGGCCTGTTCATCACCAGGAGCCCAAAGGCCCTGTGGCCAGGCCCGGCCCCAGCATGGCCCTCCACAGTGGGGGGAAGAGGAGCGCATAAGCAAAGCCCACCACTTCTCTCCAGGAGATAAATAACATTTTTTCCCATTAAAAAGCTAGAAAGGTGGGCAGTTTAGGGCAACAGGATGTCAAGGAAATGTGAACCAAAAATTTTATAACCAGCAAAACTGACCAAGTATAAAGGCCCAATGATTCTCTCTCAACACTGATGTTTCTATCTCTTTCCCTCTCTCTTCCCCTCTGAAATCAATTAAAAGATATTTTTAAAAAATATAAAAGATGGGCAAAGATGATACAAAACATAGAAAGTCCAAACAAGAATTCTGAAACGATGGAGTGGGGGTCGTTATTCAGGAGCCAGTGTGCTGCAGGCAGGGTCTGTCTGGGCTGCCACTGCCACTGCCCCATCCCTACCCATCTCCAAGCTGTCTCCCATCCACGGTGCTGTTAGTGACCCGGCCCGACCCTGACCTCATGAGACGGGGTCAGCACCCTCACTCCTCGCTGACGCAGGGCCGCGTGAGGTCTCCATTACCTCTGCTCGCCTTTGCCGCCTGTTCATGTTAAAGAGCCCTCCCAGCCCACACTGCAGGCCTCACGTGGCCTCTGCACACAAGCAGTAACGGCAGTTCAAGACGCACTGAGAACACAGCGCAGTGCGAAATAGGCTCCAGCTCTGTGCTGGGCAATCAGCCATCAAAGCAGGAAACCTGAACCTTCCATCCTACTGTGAGGAAACTGTCAGACACAAGCAGACCTAGGCACATTCTACAGGACAACTGGCCCCACTTCCCCGAAGGCCCAGCCAAGACCAGCATGTGACCCCTCAAGGTTCTTCAGTAACGATGAGTGGGGCCAGAAGAAAGGAGAGGAGCAAGCACCTTTGCTGAGGGTCCTGGAGGAACCAGGGCAGCTGGAACCATGGTCCCTCCAGGGCAGCTGCTGCAGACATGGTCTGTCTCATCTTGTGACTCTGGGCCATCCAACCACAGCACATAGCCAATGCCCACCGGGATCAGGATGCAACATCCGGCATCTGCAGCCGGTGTCAGAGGTAAATTTTTCAAAACATTTGCAATTTTGCAAAATAGGTTGGGAACCTTTTTAAAGAATTCAAAGTGAGCCGAAACTGGTTTGTCTCAGTGGATAGAGCATCGGCCTGCGGACTGAAAGATCCCAGGTTCGATTCCAGTGGGGGGTGTGCAAGAGGCAGCTGATAGATGATTCTCTCTCATCGATGTTTCTAACTCTCTATCCCTCTCTCTTCCTCTCTGTAAAAAATCAATAAAATAGCCGAAACCAGTTTGGCTCATTGGATAGAGCATCGGCTTGGGGACTGAAGGGACCCGGGTTCGATTCCGGTCAGGGGCATGTACCTTAGTTGTGGGCATATCCCCAGTGGGGGGTGTGCAAGAGGCAGCTGATCGATGACTCTCTCTCATCGATGTTTCTAGCTCTCTATCTCTCTCCCTTCCTCTCGGTACAAAAATCAATAAAATATATTTTTTTTTTAAAAAGAAAGAAAGAAAGTGATATCTGGCTGACAAAATCATTATTAAAAAAAAAATCAATAAAATATATTTTAAAAAAAAACATTCAAAGTGAGATGCCCAGATTCTCAGGCACTGCCCTGTGCACTCACCAGCTGAGTTGATGATGTGCCTCAGAACCTGCAGGGTGCCCACGCGGGTCCTCTCATTGCTGGTGTCCAGCTTGGGCAGCAGGAAGGCCAGCAGGCGTTCGGGCGAGCAGCACGCTGCAGGGGAAGTCACAGACAGTAAAAATTTGCCCCTGCTCCTTGCTGCCTACACCTCCAAACCTGCCACAGGGGGCACTCTTGGAGTCAGTCCCACACAGGCGCAGGCAGAGTGGACCATGCCCAGGCCAGGCAGCCACTCACCCAGCACCGTGAAGCAGCGCAGAACTTCCTTCTGGTTGCTCGTCACCAGGGGACTGGTAGTCTCCACAGGCACACAGATCTGCAGCCAGGGACAGGGGTGACGATGGCACTGCTGCCCTGAGCCTGGCTGGGCGGGAGGGCAGGCCACACGTGCTCCTGACAAAGCACCCAGCTCACACACTACTGAGGGCCCTGGCATCTACCCAAACCAGCCACAGCCAGATGCAGGTCAGGGGCTGGCCTCCCCTGCGGGGTGGGGTGGGCTGGGGCAGGGAGACAGGGAGGCTAACGGTATTTCCATGCACACAGCTGAGCTGTCTCGAGGGAGAGGAGTTTGCTGGCTTCAGTAGAGCCCAGCTTGTGAGCCAGAGTGGTGACTGACAGTGCAGGAAAGCCCTGACCCATAGGCCCTGCCCAGTTGTGCTCCAGCAGTTGTCAGAGCTGGAGAAGCAGGTGGGGGCAGGGCTTACATGTGACAGGTGCTGCACTAGAGGTTCCATTGGAGAGCCCTGACCTCTCCTCCTGCCTGCTCTCTGCTAAGCTCCCTCTCCGGAAGAGCAGAGCCAGGTCCTGAGGACCCTCTAGCAGTCCAAAGCAGAGCCATGTGGCCAAGAACCACGCTTCTGCCTGCAGCCACGAGAGGGAGCCCCATGGGAGCAGAGCCTACAGCCTAGCAGTGCGGGCAGCCACCCAGGACCCGGGCAGAGCCTCTGGCAAGCTGCTCTGGGGTGTCTGGCCATGTGACTGTGAGATACACAGTTTCTGTTTAAGGTGCTGCGTTTCACAGCCACCAGTTACAGCAGTCACTAATGCCAATAAGTGGTCATGTGGAAGAAAGGCCAACCTGGATTCTCACTCACTTTTCCCTAAAATAAGTTCAGGGTGGATTCAACAATGTAAGTACAAGGAAATGGGAGAATCTGACAAGCAAGTGTGGAATCAAGGAGTCTAAGTATAAGGAAACCTGCATTGTAAAATAGAAGACAGATTAGGATGATGTAAAAATTAAACTATGTTGCATGCAAACAAATATAAAGAGCCCCAAAATAAAGGACTTTTTTTTTTTTGTCCTGTCCATGGATCACTACTGGTGCATAGGTATGCTGTTGGTGTGTGTGCTGAGGTCTCATGGAACTGTGCTGACTAAGTGCCCACAGGAATGATTTCGGGGTGACAGTCATCCACACAGGACCACTGAGTACCTGCAGGTGACAGGAGCTACGCTAGGGGTGAACACAGCTGTAAGCAAACAGACAGAACCCAACCTCACAGAGCTCCCTTTGGCGGGAGAGGCAACAAGCAGTCATTGATACAGATGACCCCTGAACTCACAGCATCAAGGATGCTGACCCCCAACCAGTCAAAAATCCACACGTAACTCAACTATCCCAAAACTTACTAATAGCCCCACTGTGACAGGAAGCCGTACCAATAGCATAAACAGCAATGAATACACACTTTGTAAGTTACCTGAATGGAGGCCAAAAACTTTTAAAAATGTGATTTAAAAAGTATAGAAGAGATCCACCAAAGTACTTATATGCATGCATTTAAGCCTAACCAATGGGTACAGACAACAGGTGGGTAAGGGTATGAATGGGGGTGGGGGTGGCGGTAATGTGGGAATAAGGACACATGTGTAATACCTTAATCAATAAAGAAAAAAAAATTTTAAAGTATATAAGAGCTGAGCTGGTGTGGGTTAGTGGTTGAGCATAAACCAGGAGATCACGGTTTGATTCCAAGTCAGGGCACATGCCCAGATTGCAGACTCCATCCCCAGTGGGGGGCATGTAGGAGACAGCCAATCATTGATTCTCTCTCATCATTGATGTTTCTATCTCTCTCTCTCCCTCTCCCTTCCTCTCTGAAATTAATAAAAAAAAAATATTAAGTAGCCCTAACTAGTTTGGCTCAGTGGATAGTGTCAGCCTGCAGACTGAAAGGTCCCAGGTTCGATTCTAGTCAAGGGCATGTATCTTGGTTTCGGGCACATCCCCAGTGGGAAGTGTGCAGGAGGCAGCTGATCAAAGTTTCTAACTCTCTATCCCCTTCCCTTCTTCTCTATAAAAAAATCAATAAGATATATTTTTTAAAAAGAAAAAAATACAATAAAAATAAAAGGTCAGCACCGAGGAGAAGCACAAAGTAGGGACCGGGCCTGGGATGCAATGATGAGGACCTCCTCACACCCATCATCCTCTCACCAAGCCAAGCAGTCCCATTTGTCTTCCTCTTCCTAGAACTGGGATGAGCGGATTCTTCATGCCCTTGACCCTGACAGGAACGTGACTGTCTCCCACTTGGTGTGACGCACGCTGAGGGTATGGGTAAATAAACTATCGGAACCCAGCAGCTAAGAGTCCTAAGGATAACTGGGTGCTGACCTTCATCAAAAGCTTTCTTGGCATCAACTGAGATCAGAGGCTATTTCCCTAATCCATGTCCATGTGACACAGGAGCCCTGCCCCCAAGTTCCCATGACCTCCACACCTCTCACCAGACCAGGTCCTCCAGGGGCCTCCAGAGTGCTCCCTGCAACTCACCCTGTGTCATTGTGCCTCCACAGCACCACCCTGCAACCTACCTGAGCATGCAGAGCGGCCAGGAGTGAGTCCAGCTGGACCTCCAGCGTGCGGCTGCCCACGCTCACGGCCGCCTCGAGGATCTGGCCCAGGCTCTGCTGGGCAGAGGGGCCGTCAGTCCCACCTGAAGCCCCCAGCCTGCCCCCACCCCTAGAAGTCAGAGGTGGAGGAGGGATCAGGAAAGGGGATCTGGGGAGAGCAGTAGTGCAGGTCTGCTGCTCCAGCGGAGGGGATGTTCTTGACCAAAACCCTGCTGAGCTCTCACCTTGGACACGTGGGAGGTCTCGGCGTGCTTCTTGTAGAGGGCTAGGACGCCCGGCAGGAGCTTGGGGAGCTGCTCCTCCAGCTTCTCGCTGGGCAGCAAGTGGCTCATGGGTCCCAGGGCCTCCACCACAGCAAGCCGGAGCTGAAGGGGAAGCAGGACACATCATGCAGCAGCACTCACAGCCACTGGAGGCTGAGTGGCAAAGTGCTCATTCACCAAGAGCTCAGGGCTGATGGGAGGAAACTACATGACAGGGTCCTAATGGGGCTAGGCCATGTGCTGTCACCACTCCTCGCCCTCCCCCAAGGCATCATGGGGTGAGGACGGAACATGGTATCCATGGCAACTGGGGCTCAGAAGTCAGTACACCCTAAGGGACCTGCAGGTGAGACTGCACAGGGCACGTCTCCTCCCTAATGAGGTCCCACCTCCTGCCTAAAGGGCACTGGATGGGGACAGGTATACCAGACAGGTCCATCCCTCCCGCAGAAGAGCAGGAGGCCCAGGGAGGGGCCTGGGTGGGCAGGCTTGGGTGGGAGGGGGTGTCCAGCAAGGTGAGGCATACCTTGGCTTCGCGGCTCTGCAGCCAGTGGTGAAAGAGGGTGTCATAGGCACTGCTGATGTCGGAGGCAAAGGTGTCCTTCCTGACTGTGGGGTCTGGGGCTTGGTCCAGGTTGGCCAAGTACTCGAGGGTGCTCTCGCTGAAGCGCTGCAGGGCTGCGGCAACCGGGCAGTGAGTGGCGAGTGGCCGCGGACTTCATACCTAGTGTGCGTGCTGTTCCTTCCAAACCATGACCACCCCAGAGCACCGGCCAGGCTGGGATTCCTGGACTACACTGGGCAAGCACTGTCCCCCCAAGTTCATGTCCAAGCCCTCAGGACAGGGCCTTTTTGGAAATAGGGTCTTTGCAGATATGAGTTAAACTGTGGTCACAGTGGGGCGGACCCTAATACAACAGGACTGTGTCCTCGAACACCAAGAACACAGACACAGAGAGACCAGACACCTTCCTCTCACTGTCCCGCCCTCCTCCTGAAGCCTGAAGGACCATGGCCCCCACAAAGGAGCCCTGAGGACAAAAGGTCAAAGAGGAGTCAGGCAGCAACCAGCCCCCACCCTTTAAAGACCCAGCTGCCCTGGAGGCCCTGACTCACCACAGCAGAACACCACCCGCATGGAGTCGTGCTTGGCCATGCCCAGCATGGGCAGCATGGTGCTCAGGACGGATGTCAGGAAGGGCACCATGCCGAACACTGCAACAGACGGTGTCACAGCAGCCTGCACCACCCCGCCTGTCTCCCCACACCTCGTGCCACCACACGCTGCAGGGCCTTGATCTCTTTCTGCTCAGCCCAAGGCAGGCTGCTGAGACAGGAGAACCGAGGTGCCAGCAGGCCTGAGGGACTCACGGCTCAATTGAGAACGGGGTGAAGGGGTGCAGGCCAAGTCGACACCTACCGTTGAAGACTGAGAGGTTGGCCAACGTCTGTACCACGAAGCAATGCGGCAGGACTCCGGGCTGGAACTTGCCCAGCATCTCCTCCATTACCATGCCAACGAAGCGCTTGCCCACCGCCACGAGGACGCTGCTGGCAGCCTGCTGCCAGTCAAAAACCAGGTCCTGCCACCCCAGAAAAAACATGACCTGTCATCCCAGCCAGAAAAAGCCTTCGGGCCTCGCCCTGCATTTGCCCGAGAGGCACAACGCGCACCCTGCCCTCATCAGGCTCCTGTGAGCGCCTGCCAGAGACTCAAGCCCAGCATCCGTTCCAGGTGCCACTGCAGGAGCACAGCCCTGGGAGAGGGGCTCCTGAGCCTGGCTCCATCCCCCAAACAGCGGCTGCGGGCACCGGTGCCCCTACATTCACTCAGAGAGCTTAGGAACTTTCTGCTTCAGTTTCCGCCTCTGAAATGACAGGTGGCCCTCCCCACCCAGGAGGGTGGTCAGCGGGCAAAACCGAGGGGCCAACCCGAACCCACATCCTAGCATGCTGGGCAAAAAAGAAGCCCCTGAGCCCTGGCCACATCCAGCAGGGGCAGCACATGGCCTCTGAGGGGGCTTGGCCGGCAGCCGCAGACCTTGGCCTTGGTCATCTCGCTGGAGGCCAGGAGGATGATGGCCCTGACCATGTCCTTGTCCAGCTCACTGATGTGATTGCTCACGATTGTCTCCATGGCCCTCAGGATCATCGTCCGATAAGGATGAGCCAGCTGAGGAGAGAAATCATTGAGGAAGGGCCTGGAAGGTGAGCTGAAACGCCACTCCGCCACTCTGTCCAGTGCCTCCAGGGCCTTCACACTCCCCACCGCGTGGCCACTGAGTAGCCATTGGTTCTCGGAGCAAAAGCGATGATGTTGAGTGCTTGGGTTCAAGTCACCCTCTTTTTACTTAGTGAGGAATGGCCACAGGGCGCCGAAGTACTGATGCTGACACCAAGCATGCCAGAGAGATCGTGCTCCCCTTAAGTGAAGGTGTGGCTGTACAGTCTGTAGGAGGCAGCAAGGCGAGGCCTGCCCCCTCCACAGCCCCATGAAGGGTGTGCCCACCTCCCACCTCTGTACACGTACTCCTGTTATTGTAGTTGGTGAAGGGCTTTCTCTCCCTTGGTTGGGACGGCACAGACCCTGGCAGGGAGAGCCATCCAGTCTCCACCAATGAGTGAAAGGGGATGGCCACACTAGGCCTTGGCTCGCCAGCGCAGGAGCTGCCGAGCTGAACACCCAGTCTTGGGATATACCAACCCCCAGCCCCACACCCCAGCCCAAATGCCCAGCCTGGAGAGAGCTTGGACTTTGGCTTTGTGCCCAGCCCCACCCTTCAGACCCTGCCCGCAGCCTTATCTCAATACATCGCCAAGAGCGGCAAGGCTGCCTGGTCCCACACCTTTTCGTGCTGCCGCAGGTGCTCCTCGCAGGCGCTGAGCGTCTCCTCTGGCTGCGACTCCCCAAGGGCACACAGGGCGCCGCACACCTGCTCCTGCACCAGAGGGTCCTTGTCGGTGACGGAGTCCAGCAGGATGGTGGACAGCTCTGCAGCGACAAAGCCCAGCGTGCTCAGGCTGGGGGAGGACCAGACCTGGTGGGTGGGGGCGCCTCCAAGGCTGGCCACCACTGCACTCACTCTTCACGTAGGGCTCGCTCATCGCGGGGGTCTCGGAGGTCTCGGCTTCCTCTCGCCCGTGAACATGGACAGCGCCTTCTCACACCTGGCGTAACCAGGGCACAATACGGAATTCACAGCCTCCTCGATCGCATGGTGGGCAGTCACTATGTCTGCGAAAAGAATACAACTTCACCACGGGGTTCTGGGTGGTCTCTGCTGTATCTGGCAGCTCGCAGGGAGGAAGAGCGCCCTCCCCTCGCAGGTCCCAGCTCTCCTGTCCAGCACCCATGGTCCTGCACCAGCTGTGGGCCCCCAAGGCCCATCCCTGGCAGGCAGGGTCACTGCCTTCACTCTGGAGGGAGGCCAGGATGCACTAAGGCCTGAGGTCCTAGGGTGTGTGCGTGGCAGGGAAACGTGAGGGCCAAGAACAGGGCCCTGAGCCGCTCAGAGCCAGGATCCCCTAGGGGCTGGACAAGAAGCCCCTGAAATGGCAGTCCGCCCAGCCTCCGACATTGGAGAGCGGCAACTTTCCACATCAGGTACCTCCCAGCACCAAACAGAACCACCTCCATTAACTGGGCCAGGGCCACTGATCTCCATGGCCTGCTCACCCTCAGGCCTCTGCCACTCTCTCCCAGGAGCTGTAAAGGAAGTGGGCCCAGGCCTGCGGGTGGCAGCCACCTGCTTCCTAACACACGTGCCCTCTACTCTCTGGTGACCCCACTGCCCTCCATCCCCTCTATCAAGGACTGCGGTGCCGCCAGCATGGCTGTGCACGGGCGGGAAGAGGCAGTGTGGAAGCCCATGTGACATGGGCGAGGGTGCCTGGGGAATCACAAATAAGTGAGAATCCCAGTTCAAGATGGCAGATGGGCCCTACACATTCACCTGCACCAAGACCTCAGGGAAGGGACAGGAGAGGGGTGTGTCTTAAGAGAATAAACTCACAAGAGCACTAGAAGACAAGAGAGAGAAAATTAGCAGACCAGGAACTTCCAGGATCCCAGGCAGACAGGAAGCAGATGGAGAAGGCTGGCTTGAAGAGGGTGGCATCCACTGGGCGTCCCTGCTTTCTTCCTGGAAAGCAGCTGAACATCTCAAGGAAAACGAGACATAAAAATACATATTCCACTTGGACAGAGCAAGGAGAAGGCAAAACCTCCAACCCCACAAGGCCGAGGATGGAAAAGCACCACAGCTGTCAGGGGGTGGTGAGGTTCCTGAAACAGCCCACAGAACTCACTTTTCCAAGGCGGGCACCTCCTCCTGGGAACCCTAATCCAGGTTCCAGACCTGGTCTGAGTCCAGGAGGAGGGCAGCCGGTGCCTGGGCAGAGGCTTTGCCCTATGAAAAGCCACAGCTGTCTGTCTCCAGTGCCTTCGACAAAACAAGGGCTAAACCAGCTCCAACAACACCCAGCTGGGAAGGCCTCTGACAGGAGTGCGAAGGGCTATGCTCAGCCAACCCAAACAGTCAGCATAAGAAATGTCAGCTCCCAGCCAAAACCGGTTTAGCTCAATAGAGCGTCGGCTTGGGGACTGAAGGGACCCAGGTTCGATTCCGGTCAAGGGCATGTACCTTGGTTGCGGGCATATCCCCAGTAGGGGGTGTGCAAGAGGCAACTGATCGATGACTCTCATCAATGTTTCTCTCTATCTCTCTTCCTTCCTCTCTGTACAAAATCAATAAAATATATTTAAAAAAAAAAAAAAAAGAAATGTCAACTCCCAGCCCCCTGAGCGTAATGGACCCGTTTTTCCTCCCAGCCAAACAGCTGGGAAACGACAAAACCAATGGTGGTGGACATCAGGAGTGACGGGCAAGGAGCCCACGGTCACTCAGCTCTCCACCAGGAGGCACTTCAGGCTGAGCTGCGACACACCTGGGGCTGAAGAGATGGTTGGGGGGTCTGGGAGGCCTCGGTCCTGCGGGATTTGTAGGCTCTAGGACCAGAGAGAATTCCAGAGATCTGCACAAGGTCCCTGGTCCCTCGGCTGTTACACTGGGCAGTGTGGGGTGGCAGAATGTCCCCAATGGTGCCCAGGCTGTCCTCTCCAGAATCTGTGACTATGGTTCAGGGGGCAATAGGGATCTAGCAGATGGGATTAAGGGTACAGACGGAGGAGGTTCCCCTGGATTATGTGGGAGAGTCCAGACTAGTCACATGAGTCCTTAAGAGCAGACCACCTATCCCAGCTGGGGAAGAAGATGGCAGGAGGAGGAAGAAGCAGTCAAAGCACCGGAAGGACTCAACCTTCCACACCTGGCTCTGGGGGTGGAGAAAGGAGGCTGAGCCAAGGCACATGGGTGGCTCCGGGACGTGAAACATCCCTCAGCTCATAGCCGGGAAGCAGACAGGGACTTCAGTCCTACACACACAGAGAACCAAGTGCTACCAACAACCTAGAACAGGAGGAAGCTGATCCTCCCCGGAGCCCCCAGAAAGGAACTTTGCCCGGGGCGATCCCTGGCAGGCTACTGGGATGGTAAGTATGGTAAGTATCACCACGAAGACAAGAGGAGAAACAGCCCAGAGATGGAAGACGCTAAGGATGTCTGGCCACGCTAGCAGTCAGCAGCTGTGCATTGCTGCATGTTGCCCAGGAGCAAACCAGAGAGGGTCTGACCTGCATTGCTACCATCTGTCCATCAACAGATATCATTGCTGGCATGTACATATAAGGAAGTATTTGACATTAAAACTGGGTCTCAGAACTGTTGGACACTGAAATTGGGACTCAAACGTCTTTTGTTATGGTTTTTTTTTTTAATATATATATTTTATTGATTTTTCACAGAGAGGAAGGAAGAGGGATAGAGAGCTGGAAACATCGACCAGCTGCCTCCTGCACACCCCCTACTGGGGATGTGATCGCAACCAATGTAATTGCCCTTGACCGGAATCGAACCTGAGACCTTTCAGTCCGCAGACGGACGCTCTATCCACTGAGCCAAACCGGTTTCAGCTTGTTATTATATGTTTATTTCTAGTCTGAAATTGCAAGATTTTTCAAAGAAAAGAAATGGGGGGAAAATAGATATTGAACAGACTGTCAAACTATAGCAGGAAGGCAAGGAGATTGTGGGGAGGGGGCCTGTAAGAGATCAACCAAAGGACTTGTATACATGCAAATAAACATAACCAATGGATACAAGACATGGGGGGCAGGGGAGAAGGTGAAGGGTTATGGGGCGGGGTAGGGGAGGCTAGGGGAAGGTCAAGGGGGAAAAAAGGAGACACATGTATTACAATTGTAATCCTTCAAGCAATAAAAAAATGAAGAGAAGAAAAAAAAATTAAGTATCTACCAAGCCAGTGTGCTCAGTGGTTGAGCATCAACCCATGATGAATAGGAGCTCACGGTTGGATTCCCAGTCAGGGCACACGCCCAGGTTGTGAGCTGGTTCCCCAGTGTGGGGCATGCAGGAGGCAGCCAATCGATGATTCTCTCTCCCTCTCCCTTCCCCTCTGAAATAATTTTTTTTTTTAATTGTAAAAAAAAGGAAAGGCAATAAGTGTCTGCTGTTTAGGTCAGCCCTGATGCGAGCGCGCCTCGCCCCTCGGGCTCTGCCTCTGAGTCCCCCTCTGACACTGACACCCCCAGGAGCCCGCACACAAGACGCCACCCACAGCGGGGCCATCAGAGACCGGCTGGGGCACTGCCGCCCACTCGCAGACACACGCCTGCCCCGTGCAGCGCCAGGCAGCCCCGCCAAGCACACACGTGTGCTCTGCATCTCACACATGAGCACCCACACTGGACACCCACAGAGACCCCGGGCGGACAGGGGTGCCCGGAAGCCAGGCAGCTCCGCTCAGGTCACTGGCCCCGGCACCTGCCGGCGCCAGACTGTGGGTGCCCAGCAACCACCCACCCGCGGGTCCCTGCGTGGCCTCCTGGGGCGCCTTCCCCCGGGCCCCTCCCGCCCAAACCCGCCGGCGCCAGCACCTCCCTCCTGGGCCGCCTCCTCCACAGCACTCCGACCAGCACCCCTTTCCAAAGGCCCTGCCTCCGGGACCCACCCCTCCAGGGACCCCCCAGCGCCCTGTACCCCCCGAACCCCAAGGGGAACTTCTGCGAGGGAGGCTGCAGGTGGGACTCCCTGCTCCCCGAGCCCTCTCCTCCGGCCTCCCGCTGTGGGAACCGGAGCCCCGATACCGGCGGGGCCCCAGAACCCGGATCCCGGGGGGGGGGGCCAGAACCCGGATCCCGGGGGGCGGGGCCCCAGATCCCCGATCCCGGGGGGGGGGGGGCGCCCCAGAACCCCGATCCCGGCCGGGCCGGACGGCGCTCGCCCAGCAAGGTCTGGCCCCCGCCCCGCCGCGGCCGCCCGGACCCGCAGCCCTCGTGACCCGCCGAGCACCTGCCTCTCGGCCTCGTTTCCCTCCGAGTCCCGGGAGAAGGGGCGGAAGGCAGGGTCCGGCGGTGCGGGCTCAGCTTCACACAGAGGGGCCCCCAGTGCCGCGGGGGGCAGGACCGTGGACCGGGCCCCGGGGGTGACAGGCGCTAGGACCGGGCCCTCCGCGCAGGGGACGAGCACCGAACCGGCGTGAGGAAGCGGGGGACCGGAGGCAGCGCCCCGAGCCGCTCTTCCGGGCGGTGACGCGGCCACCTGGCCCGCGGGGACCGGCGCACCTGAGCCCGGGAGGGGGCGGGCTCGGTCCCGCAAACCCGGTACCTCCCCGCGCTCCCTGGTGACCTTGGGGAGCGCCCCCCGGACCCGGCGCTGCCCGGACGAGGCGTCACCCCCAGCTCTCGGGCCCAGGCGCCCCCGAGGGGCGTCTCCCCGAGCGAGGCCCGAGGACCGGGGTCCCCGCCCGCCGTTTACCTCAGGAGCCGCGGCCGCCGCCGCCGGGGTGCAGCCCTCCCGCCCTGCCGCGCGCCAGTGGGCGGGGCTTCGTGTTGTTTCCGCCCCTCGGCCGCTCTCCGCCAACCGAGGCCCGGCGCGCGGCGTCCAGGGCCCGCCCCCAACGATCTCAGCGTTCATTGGTTGGAGGCGCGTTCCTCTCGCTCTCTGCACCCCGCCCACCGAGCCCCA